ACCCATCAGTATTCCCTCTCAGTCACTCGTAAACCGCCATATCACAGCTCCATCTACATACGTCTCGATCCGTCTAATCTGGCCAGTCAAAGCGCCGTATACATACATCACAATCCCACAAAACCCGGCCAGTCAAAGCGCAATCTAAGTATCTAACGTACGTATCATAACGTACTGGATTTAAAAGCCCGTTAACCTTCAGCAGATACCCTAACAGTAAAAATGTTCTTAATCTTATTACTGTTATAAATGTTATTTGGCTTTCAGCTAAGATGAAAAGTTCATGTCTTGATTTCAGAAACCAGAGGGTAAAAAGGATTTTTTAAAGGATTTTGACGGGGTGTGAAAATGATAGTTTCTTCCCATTCTAACTGATAAATGGCTAGGTTTACCAATGATAATTGTAGAACAGAATCATATATATAAAATAATATATTCTGTTGCAATCTACACTCTAAATAACAGTCTAAAAGACTTATTTTGCGTTTCCGTTCTGCTACTCGTCCTTGCTAAAAAAACGGATGTGATGTCACTCCGAAATTAATTATCTTTTTATAGAAAAATTAAAAACAAATACATATCCCTGAAATTCAACAACGATCGACAATCTTTGTCAAAAAAACACAAATGTTCCATATCTGTGATTTCGAATATAAAATATGATGAGAAATCTGCCTAATTTTAGCAACACACTAGCTTGTAAAGCTATAGGAACGGCAACACACTAGCTTGTAAAGCTATAGGAACGGCAACACACTAGCTTGTAAAGCTATAGGAACGTCAACACACTAACTGGTAAAGCTTTTGGAACGGCAACACACTAGCTTGTTAAGGTATAGGAAATGCAACACATTAGATTTTAAAGCTATAGGAACGGCAACACACTAGCTTGTAAAGCTATAGAAACGGCAACACACTAGCTTGTAAAGCTATAGGAACGTCAACACACTAGCTTGTAAAGCTATAGGAACGGCAACACACTATCTTGTAAAGCTATAGGAACGGCAACACACTATCTTGTAAAGCTAAAGGAACGTCAACACACTAGCTTGTAAAGCTAAAGGAACGGCAACACACTATCCTGTAAAGCTAAAGGAACGGCAAACGATGGACATCATCAGTATTGATACCAACAATACTGAGAATAAATATTGAAATGTTTCTGAAAAATATACTGTACGAAAGCCATAATTTTTCTCTTTAATGCACTGACACGCCTACACAAGCTGGTAACATGGTTAAACTCCGATGAACCAGAATACCGGACACATCAATGTGGTAAGGTGCCCATTTGTGGAATTGAACAGTGCTGATAGCTTGTCCCCCGCTGTTTATATTACCTGTGTTCCTTACAGGACGTAACCACACGATCTGCTGATGGAGATCACATCATTAAACACGGCACATGATGCCATCGATTTTTCTGGTTCCGATGAAATGAGGAAATTAACGGAAATGACATCATCAGGAATAATTTCCCGCTTATTTCATTGCTACAGTGTATATCCGGTTATTTACGTTTTTTAATTACTCTTCGATATATTTAGAGCAAGTATTTTAAATTGGCGTCCATTAGAGTATTGATCCGACATTCGCTCCAAATGGACACCCAAAGTGTTATATAAAGGCAAAAGTAATCAGCAATATCAACATGAGGTAATTAAGGGTTACAAAATAGATATTGTACATTTTTAATAAATAAAAAAAGGAGTGCAACATCTTTCTGACCAACAGACATCCTCATGAAATAGTGTCATGAGAAAGAAAGACAGAATTCTGCGTAGAAAATGTAAGGTTAAGTTAATCATTTATTTGTTGTTAGATTAAGTGACGTTAATTGATTGCATAAACTGACAGTAAGTAAGGTCTTAATTAGATTTTGGAACACACAAACAGTTTGGAATTGCTGAATGTTGTGACAACCAGTAAACCGGAGACGGATATATATAGTTCAATTTCTACGGAGACTAAGTCAGAATTTCGTCTCCTTGAAGAACCTTAAATTTCCGTTTTAGGAAGATTATGACATCTTTGATGACTTTCATCAGCCTCAAAATGTCGAGACAGTAATGGTTAGGTGAGTACCTCATTAAATTCAAGCGTAATTGACGAATTTTTCTGCTAAATTCGATATTCTACATTCTTCACACACAGTTCAACGAATAGATGACATTGTCGTTATCTTCAAGGTGATCTTGATGCTTAAGTATTAAAAACTCGTCAGTGAAAGAAACATTTTATTGTGAGCTCAAGTAGCGTCGCAAAAAGAGTTCTGTTCTTCCAGCTGAATGACTCGAGTGACTGGGCGGAGTAAACAGTAGTAGGGTGGTCGGAAGGTCAATGGATAGCGCAATGGACTTTCACCAAGACGACCGGATTTCGATTCCCCGACCAGACGTGAAAGGTATAGGATCACCTGTTCGTTCACGTGGGTTTTCTCCAGTTACTCCGGTTTCCGTCTACATTAAGACTCTCTACGGGTTTCCGTCCGGTCGAACAGCAGTGATTTACAGTGCCCGCAGGTTCTCGAAATAAATGGAAAGACATTATTTCAGCATGTTGGCTGAGCTTCCTTTATCGATTATGGCCTGATGTTATATTTTGTTCTTGCTTGTGATACTAGTTATCAGGCCCTAGGATCATAAAACAACATTGAACTTAGGTTTTTGCTTAGCCAATCAGATATAACGTTCCTTTATGACGTTATTTGTGATTGGCTAAGTAAAAACTTAATACAATTTTAGACTTAAGACTGTTTCATGATCCTGGGGCCCGGAGTACTCTTTCTGTCATAGACCCCTGTTGATGTGGTCCGACAGAAGTAGTATGTCCCTTAACCTGCGTCTGAGTACTGTGAGGTAAACAATAGTCCATTAACCTGCGTCTGACTACTGTGAAGTTAACAATAGTCCCTTAACCTGCGTCTGAGTACTGTGTAGAAGTAGAATGTCCCTTATACTGCGTCTGACTACTATGTAGAAGTAGTGTGTCCCTCAACCTGCGTCTGAGTACTGTGTAGAAGTAATGTGTATCTTAACCTGCGTCTGACTACTGTATAGAAGTAGTGTGTCCCTTAACCTGCGTCTGAGTACTGTGTAGAAGTAGTGTGTCCCTTAACCTGCGTCTGAGTACTTTGTAGAAGTAGTTTGTCCCTCAACCTGCGTCTGACTACTGTGGAGAAGTTGTGTGTCTCTCAACCTGCGTCTGAGTACTGTGTAGAAGTAGTGTGTCCCTTAACCTGCGTCTGACTACTGTTTAGAAGTAGTGTGTCCCTTATCCTGCGTCTGACTACTGTGTAGAAGTAGTGTGTCCCTTAACCTGCGTCTGAGTACTATGTAGAAGTAGTATGTTCCTTAACCTGCGTCTGACTCCTGTTTAGAAGTAGTGTGTCCCTCAACCTGCGTCTGACTACTGTGTAGAAGAAGTTTGTCCCTTAACTTGCGTCTGAGTTCTGTGTAGAAGTAGTATTTCCCTTAACCTGCGTCTGACTACTGAGTAGAAGTAGTGTGTCCCTCAACCTGCGTCTGACTACTGAGTAGAAGTAGTGTGTCCCTTACCCTGCGTCTGAGTACTGTGTAGAAGTAGTATGTCCCTTAACCTGCGTCTGAGCACTGTGCAGAAGTAGTATGTCCCTTAACCTGCGTCTGAGTACTGTGTAGAAGTAGTATGTCCCTTAACCTGCGTCTGACCACTGTGACGTAAACAATATTTCAGAGGAAAACGAAGAAAGCCTTTTATAGGAGGTGAAGGATCATTTCTACGAAGGATCAAAATAACGACATGGTGAAGTTGCCAAATTCCTGTTTGGTTTCAAGTAAACGAAAAAGAGACTTCACATCAGCCGACCTGAAAACTCCTTCCATTATAATTCAGTCATTAATGCAAACTTCTTGTCTACGTATCAAAGCCCTCCACGGAAATTGTGCGGTGTTCCTTAGGCCTCTCGCTTTAATGTCTGGCGCGATCATGATTGCTCCGAAAACACACTCCTTCACGGCATGGTCATCGACAACAATGATGCCCGTCATTGTCACTGTTGTTTTGTTATTTCATTTAGGTATAATAGAATATGTACTTGTCCTTTTAATAGGGAAACATTATTCCTTGTTCCCCTCATTTAATCACGATTCAATCACGCAATGCTCTCGTAAACAAGATCAATCATAGAAAACAGAGAATCGTGTTTCCCTACCACAAAGAAAATACATGTTAATTATAAAAACACAAAATAAAACTATAACACCAGTCAATACTCAAACTATAACACCAGTCAATACTCTAACTATAACACCAGTCAATACTCTCACTATAACACCAGACAATTATGCATGTATTAAACCAGTCAATACTCTAACTATAACACCAGTCAATACTCTAACTATAAAACGAGTCAATGGAAAGTTGTCGTTGAACAGTGATTGAGCTAATCACCTATTGAACAACTGGACCAATGATTATATAACACTGTACATTTACGTGATGCAAATCTATGAGCAGTTTTTACGTACCACAGACTCGTTTGCAAATGTGTCGGATCGAGTTTTGAGCTTTCATTTAAACCATTCAAGGTTGGCCTATTTGTCCTAATTCTTGACCCATTTGTCCATGTCTTCTACCATATGCTATCCGCTGGACACCTTTGACAGCTGATTCTATTGTCCGTGGGCTTCAGTGATTTTGACCCATTTTTTCGATCAGTTGGACAAATTTGTCCCTTTGTCTGTTCCTTTGACCTATTTGTCTGTTCCTTTGACCCATTTGTCTGTTCCTTTGACCCATTTGTCTGTTCCTTTGACCCATTTGTCTGTTCATTTGACCCATTTATCTGTTCCTTTGACCCACTTGTCTGTTCCTTTGACCCATTTATCTGTTCCTTTCACCTATATTTCCCTTTCGTTCACCGATTTAGTCATATGTTTATAATTCCATATCGAACCGAAGATGTTGCGTGAGTAATTTATTACTTTGCCAACTCTGTTCTGTTGAGGAGCTGAACAGATTTAACCCTTTGACCCATTTATCTGTTCCTTTGACCCATTTATCTGTTCCATTGACCCATTTATCTGTTCCTTTGACCCATTTGTCTGTTCCTTTGACCCATTTGTCTGTTCCTTTGACCCATTTGTCTGTTCCTTTGACCCATTTGTCTGTTCCTTTGACCCATTTGTCTGTTCCTTTGACCCATTTGTCTGTTCCTTTGACCCATTTGTCTGTTCCTTTGACCCATTTGTCTGTTCCTTTGACCCATTTGTCTGTTCCTTTGACCCATTTGTCTGTTCCTTTGACCCATTTGTCTGTTCCTTTGACCCATTTGTCTGTTCCTTTGACCCATTTGTCTGTTCCTTTGACCCATTTGTCTGTTCCTTTGACCCATTTGTCTGTTCCTTTGACCCATTTGTCTGTTCCTTTGACCCATTTATCTGTTCCTTTGACCCATTTGTCTGTTCCTTTGACCCATTTGTCTGTTCCTTTGACCCATTTGTCTGTTCCTTTGACCCATTTGTCTGTTCCTTTGACCCATTTGTCTGTTCCTTTGACCCATTTGTCTGTTCCTTTGACCCATTTGTCTGTTCCTTTGACCCATTTGTCTGTTCCTTTGACCCATTTGTCTGTTCCTTTGACCCATTTGTCTGTTCCTTTGACCCATTTGTCTGTTCCTTTGACCCATTTGTCTGTTCCTTTGACCCATTTGTCTGTTCCTTTGACCCATTTGTCTGTTCCTTTGACCCATTTGTCTGTTCCTTTGACCCATTTGTCTGTTCCTTTGACCCATTTGTCTGTTCCTTTGACCCATTTGTCTGTTCCTTTGACCCATTTGTCTGTTCCTTTGACCCATTTGTCTGTTCCTTTGACCCATTTGTCTGTTCCTTTGACCCATTTGTCTGTTCCTTTGACCCATTTGTCTGTTCCTTTGACCCATTTATCTGTTCCTTTGACCCATTTGTCTGTTCCTTTGACCCATTTATCTGTTCCTTTGACCCATTTGTCTGTTCCTTTGACCCATTTGTCTGTTCCTTTGACCCATTTGACTGTTCCTTTGACCCATTTATCTGTTCCTTTGACCCACTTGTCTGTTCCTTTGACCCATTTATCTGTTCCTTTAACCTATATTTCCCTTTCGTTCACCGATTTAGTCATATGTTTATAATTCCATATCAAACCGAAGATGTTGCGTGAGTAATTTATTACTTTGCCAACTCTGTTCTGTTGAGGAGCTGAAAAGATTTAATGAAGTGACATATGATTTCCGTCCGTTTTTTTCAAATCTGACATGTTCAAAATCTTCACAGTCGTCACAGCATAAAACATTGGATCCCATTAGACTCACAACTGAGTATAATGTTAGCTTTTGTTTTAAATTAAAACTAATGGGTTTCAATTGGTGTGAAAATGCCATTTTCAAAATGACTTCACGCAACAATGATATTACCGTACTACTGTGGAAATGGGCTATTTAATCAACTAACGCCCTTAAGATTGGCCAGTTACCGAAAGCGTCTCTCTCGTAATGATAGTGAAGTAGCAGATAATGGAATGACTTGTAGCCGATGTCCATTGTGGTCAGTTTGATCTCTTGGGAAGACCGCAGCTATACAAGCCACAGAAAACAAGATACTTGTAAACATATGAATCACGCACTCGACCACAGCAAGATTCTATTCGCAAGTTACACGTTTTCTTTACTTTGAATTCATAGAAAACATTGCAAGATGAAAGAAGTATATATTCATTATAATAAAAAAATCTAATGAGATATTTTGTTAAGTAACATTGATGTAGGTTTTATGAGAGTACACATACAAAAAGGCATCGAATGAGGGTTGAACATGTACTACAATGTACAAAACAGTTCAGTATGTTAAAGCATAGACCTAAATTAACGGGACCGCCGACTCCATGACGTCACACTCTATAATCAACCAAGGAGCTTCCCGATGTTCGCAGCGCCCCCACCGGGTGGTATAGGAAGCAACTTCCGGTTTGCTCCAGGGGTAAAACAATGGGTGGCAAACACTGTTGTGTGGTCGGTTGTACCAACTCCAGTAAGAAAACAGGACAGGGTATTAATTACTTTGGCTTTCCCAAAGATGCGGAATGGCGGTCAACATTGATAGCAGCCGTAAATCGGTGTGATTCGGGGTTTAACCCTGACAGCATGCACATTTGTTCGGCCCATTTTGAGCCAAGTTGCCTTCTATTACATGATTGAAAAAGTCTAGGTTTAATATCAAAATATGATTTGTTTAATTGTTGATGAATAACTTAGGATTATAAAAATAAAATACAATGATTGTTTTTTTCTTTTAATATTGTATAAATTTACAATATTTAAATAATGTCACTGAATAAGAACCTTTTAGCAATACTGACTGTATACGGGGAAACTTTCGCTCGGCAGTAAACAAGCACTCACAAAAGTGATGATACAATCCTTTTTTTTTTTGCCCAGTGTTAAAGAGATATGGCGGGTTGCTATGCCTATTTCCCCAAAGCTATATTACGCTAGTGTGCGCATCCAACCGTGCACTGTTATGACGCGTCCTCACGTATTTTTTATACAGGTAGCAATATCGGAACCCGTGTCTAAGAATAGATAATTGTAAACAGACCACATATTTGGTATTTCGGCATTATTTGTTGGTGTTTAAGCACTTGATATAATTACTATTGCCAGTTGGAGGGTAAAACAACTCATAAATTTCTTCAAAAATAGTCTTACCTACAAAGCGTGGCTGTACTGTACACGTGTACAGGGATTTGTTGACATGCTTCGATAAAAACAAAACTGATAAATCAATAGGTATGTTATTAAAATGAAAACAAAATTTTCCATCGATTTAAAAAGACCATTATTGCCTTATTAAGAAAAATGATCACATGCCTAAATATTTAAAAAAAAAAAATAACTGAAGGAGGTTTCGAACCTGCACCGTTTATTTTCTAGTCGCAAGTAATCTGCGTTACACATTCGGCTACATAGAACATATAGATATTGGCAATTACAAACTTATTTAACCCTAAAGTCTAAAGTATACATGGGACGTGTCCAAGAAGGTTAGTATATTTATATTGCTGTCCAGGACCCGGGGCGGAAACCAGAGAGTAAGTCAACAAGCATCATCATCACGGCATGTGTACTTGTCAGCTTGTACATGTGGGTGCAGCTCACTGCATAGCATAGTATACATACAAGGAACATTGATTACAAATATATTGTGGACAAGTATTGACATACAAAATAGGCGAATGTTCTCACAAGACGTTATCACCAGAACGGCACCTGACCGGTGAAGTGAAAGTGAAACCACAGACTAAAAACTGAAAAAATCCGACTCGGCTGCTTCGTGAACATTATGTTATTGACCACGAATAATGCTTTAGGTATTGCTTTTTTTCTATTTCAGGTGTGGGAATATAATATTAGAATAACACACATACCTCAAACAGTTCGTTTAATTCATGTTGTATGAAATCGATGCTTAACAAAATTTCTATCGACAGCACTCGAGTGTTTACCAATGGCGAATAGACGGTACGAGTTATCGGCCTTGATATTGTATGACACTGGTGAGGGCACTGCGAAATCGGTAACATATTTTCCCGCCACTGGGAGTCGGCGGTCCCTTTACTTTAGGTCTCTGGTTAAAGCGTAAAATATCTGTCTCGCGGATGCTTATAATATAATATACATGAATGTAATATAATATAATAGTACTGGACGCAGGCATATGCCTATATATCCAGATCAGGTGTATCGTCAGACTCTAAGCTGACACCCCGACAGTTAATAAGTTCATTATTATCAATTTCATGGTTATAATAGCATTCTGGTTTTCTAAGTGCTTATCCAGTCAGGCTTCAAACGTTTTTAGTGTTGGTGATGTGACGACGTGGTTTGGCAGTGAGTTCCAATGGTTGGGACACGGTTGATTGTCTGTTTATATGGTCCTATGGCAGCCTTGACACTACTCTTTCTTTAAAGGCATACTTTCTTAAGTTTAATTTACACATTATGATTAATATTTTGTTAGGAAGAGTCTATTGATTCAGAATAAGTGCCTGTCTTACAGTCCAAATATGTTTGAAATATACATATTTATATGTATAAAAAGAAAACATCTTAACAACACTTTAGCGCATCATCTCACCAAGCAATTTTTTCAGACTAGAAGTGATGACGTCATTACAACATTTGATATAGCGCCCTATCTAGCCAGAATAAGCCTCTCCAAAGCGCTTTACAGTGCACAGATATCCAATTTATAAAATAATACATTGATCAATACAATTCTGACGAATTTACAGGAGCTGCCTTTTCATGCCCTTACTACATTGTACTAGTCATATGCCACCTGGCTAATATCTCCCTATGTTTGTATGCCTGCATGTGTACTGGAGTTGTAATGGTATGTGAACAAAACATGAATTTCAGCTTTCGCCTCGATTAAGAAAATATTTTATTTCTCTTTCTAAACAACATTGACTCTAGTCAATATATCAGAGGAATTGATTAGAAGGAAGATTAACCTATATTAGTATTTGGGATTTTGTGACATGGTTGTAAAAACTTTCTTTTTTCACTAAATAGTCACTTTAAATCACTGACACCTATCTTTTTCGTTGTCACCTTTTTATATTATAAATGTGTATTTGTGTCATTGTGGTAATACATGTGGGTGTGCCTACCATAGTGGTTATACATATGTGTGCGCATGCCATTGTGGTACTACATGTGTGTGCGCGTGTCATTTCCAATTGGCATTCATATCGCCTATGAATCACTACAAATAGATCAATGCTGTTCCTTCCATTTTATACTCGTATTTACACTTAGATTCGTGGGAACGAATACGTGATACGATATACACCTTCGACCAAACACAACTAAATGATAAGTAATATCCCACAGACATTTTATTGCGATGTGTTAGGAATTTCTCAAATCGAAATTTTCGGATAATAAATCAAAATGATATCGATGAATATATGTTTTCTGTTGTTCAATAAATAGTTCATAAAATTGCTCATTTGTGAAATATAGTAACCCTAAATTCTAATTATCTTATTTTCAAAAAAAATCAGACTTCGAGATACGGTTTGTTAGAGATTACAGAAAACGAAAATATCTGTCAACAGAGTTATCAGTTTATCAAAATATATATATCATCACCCTTGATTGTCTGTTACATTAAATGCACTTCGCTGACTCCTAAGCGCTTTGGTATTTGTTAAATGCTTTAATCCTTAAATAAAACTAGAACAAATAAATGTGGCAACCCACACACGATACTAAATTTTACTGTTTGTCTAAAAAAGTATAGATAAGTTATATTTAAACGCCTTTGCAGAATAAATTGCGAAACAATTGCTACATGTTTCTTCTTCTGTTTGATGTCAAAATTAGGAAAATATCTACATAGATATAGAAATTGGAAATACAGAAGTCTTATTGCTTCTTATATGGTATTAAAGCCAAAAGAGTTCCACGGCCAATAGTGTCTTAATATGTCGTAGTAAGAAGAGTTTATTATATAGGTAAAACTCGTATAAGATAGCGTAAACAAAAACAGAATACAAGACCAATACTGGTTAAGAAAAAGTATAGGATAATGGTTCCTTATTGATGGTATATCGCTCTGATTAATGGCTCCTGAACTTCCGGTCTGGCCACTGCTGGGTGGTCTTCAGAAGTCACGTATTGATTTGGAGGTCTATTGAACTCGCTGATGTGGCGGCATAGTTATTGCTAAACCCTGAGAACCGCAAACATTGTTTGTGACGACCCCCTCGAGAGGATCGGGTTATCACTGAAGTTAATTTGGTCATAAAAACAATTATATCCAAATGTAGCAATTTTGAAACAACGTCACTAAATTCGACACACAGCAAGAATACAGTCAGAGACCACAACAGGAGGCGGTCGTCTACCGTTAGTACGATCAAGGATAAGGCGGACACAACCATTGGAGGCGGTCGTCTACCGTTAGTACGGTAAAGGATAAGGCGGAGACACAATTGGAGGAGGTCGTCTACCGTTAGTAAGATCAAGGATAAGGCGGAGACAACACTTGGAGGCGGTCGTCTACCGTTAGTACGGTAAAGGATAAGGCGGAGACAACAATTGGAGGCGGTCGTCTACCGTTAGTACGATCAAGGATAAGGCGGACACAACAATTGGAGGAGGTCGTCTACCGTCAGTACGATCAAGGATAAGGAAGAGACAACAATTGGAGGCGGTCGTCTACCGTCAGTACGATCAAGGATAAGGCGGAGACAACAATTGGAGTCTGTGGTCTACCGTCAGTACGATCAAGGATAAGGCGGAACACAATTGGAGGAGGTCGTCTACCGTTAGTACGATCAAGGATAAGGCGGAAACAACAATTGGAGGAGGTTGTCTACCGTTAGTACGGTCAAGGATAAGGCGGAGACAACAATTGGAGGCGGTCGTCTACCGTTAGTACGGTCAAGGATAAGGAAGAGACAACAATTGGAGGCGATCGTCTACCGTCAGTACGATCAAGGAAAATTGGAGCGACTGCTGATAGTTTTAGAATATCGTCCAACAACATAGTCATATATATATGTAACAAATCTTTATTTAAGCGACATAAGCCAACAAAATAAAATCATGATAACAATAGCACTAAGCAATGGCTAAATAGTTATTTTTATATATTTTGAGCCTCTGAAAACAATATTTATGCTATATACTTCTGACGTTAATGCAAAGGTAGCAGTAAACAATTTCCAGAGGTGCTTTCTAGTAACATTCGGATTAAAAGAACTTGTTTGTGAGGGAAAAACTCAAATGTTTGCTGTGTTTCGATTCTTGTTATCTGGTAAAATGTTATGGACGTTGGGCAGGGTAAAATACTATTTCTGGTGATGACCAGTAGATGACAGATGATGTCAGAATAAAATACTATTTCTGTTGATGACTGGTAGAAGACAGATGATGTCATGGTAAAATACTATTTCTGGCGATGACTGGTAGATGACAGATGATGTCAGGGTAAAATACTATTTCTGGCGATGACCAGTAGATAACAGATGATATCAGGGTTAACTACTGTTTCTGGAGTGAAGTGGTATATGTAGATTACAGATGATGAAATGAAAAAAGTCTCTTCCTGACGATATCCAAGTAGATGACTGACGATGAAATGTAAAAGACTGTTCTTGGGAATGACCGGTATATCAAACATGTACACTTCATGATACCATTGGCGCTGCCGATGAATTATGCAAGACTACACGGATTTAAGTGTGTACTTATCCCAAGTAAAGACACAAAAATGTAAAAAAGACTGTTTGAATATTGAGAAAATATGTGTGAAACGTCAGTCAAAAAATAATAAGACATTTCAAAATCAACTGTGAAAGTGCGTTAGAATGGTGCTAATGATATCCGGCAATGAAGGTGTTGGAGCCAGGATGAATAAATATTCACCAATATAACGTAAACTTGAACCTCCAGAGAATGACTAAAAAACCTCAGCGTTTGAATTTAATTCCATGTTTCCATTATGTTTAACTCGGTGCTCGTGTGTCAAGGAGCAATCGGTTGATATAATTTGTGGTAATCGTGCTACGCCATAATGGGTCTTCCATCATCACCTTTAAAAAAAGGTACATGTAGTTCACTTCTCAAGGGACAAGCATTCCGGTGCCTGGCACAGCGTCAACGCCTACGCTGAGCTGAGTACGACTTACACAGAAGCAAAAAGTACATGGTAAATTACTAGAGAATCCCTGAATATATTTAAACGTGTAATATTAGAGGCCCATGGTTTTATACTTTGTACAACACAAGAGCGTATCAGGTCCGGCCAGATCTAACACATTATCCAACACTATAGAGATTCGATATTTACGCCTTGTACACTACTAGAGAGTTCAATGTCTGCCGAGATCCTCACACAATCTGCATCATCAGAGAGTCCCGGTCAACTTTATCACACAATCTGCATCATCAGAGAGTCCCGGTCATCTTTATCACACAATCTGCATCATCAGAGAGTCCCGGTCATCTTTCACCTTGTACAACACTAGAGAGTTCAATGTCTGCGATATCCCCACAATCTATGCATTACCTTTTACAATCTTCAGCACCAACCTTAGCCACTGTATCATAGATACCAAACAATCCATACCTGCTGTAATCTACATATAACCTATACCCGTGCAGCTCTACCTTCTAAAACCTACAACCCAGCCTTAGCTACAAAAACCGTCAGCAAACACCTGAGCTACTGTACAAAAGATACATATTTATAAAGATGTTTATATTCATATTCTGTCAAAACCATTTTCCTGAGATAATGTCATTGGCCAAAGCTGTCGGTTGTCCTCCAGTCCCTATTGTCTGCAAAAGGAGTCAATGATATATCATGAAAAGTTCTTAAAACACAACCAATACGTGTTCAAAATGTGTACGAGTTGTCCACAAATCGTTGTGAATTTCTTTCCTTCTTCGGTTTCCGTATCTTTCCGGTGTTCACCTAGGCGGACCTCAAGTCAACTTCCCGCCTCTCTAATATATGATTCGTCGCAGTTTTTGCATCCGATTTTGTATATGCATTCTGCGACGTTTTATATGAGGTGTTTTATCCTTAGGGTGTACTAGGATATTACGAAGCATCTTGTGGGGCGTCATGGCTGTACCTATGCCATAACCGCGATAAATCCTCTGGATAGTTTCGGATAAACCAAAGGTCAAGTGGTCATCCCGTATAAACGGGATGACCAATTGACATTTGGTTTTGTTCTTATTATTGATTGACCTATTGTTGTTCTTCCCCTTTCTTTGACAAAATTGTGTACCCGTTTCAGGGCCCAATCCGGATATGCACATGTTTTCACAACTCGTACACATTTAACACTTTGTGTACTTACGCTTCACTGGTCATTAGTCTGATAAAGGTGACAGAGTACATACCGTACTACTCATCGAAACGTCACATAGAAACAATTATTGGTTGTGCTACAAGAATCTTTTCATAATCCATACTTACCAACCTTAAGAAAATGTTTAGAAAGAGTCAATACTATATTATCTTTAAATGGTATCCGGAACATCAGTAGTAACGTCTTATAGGATCAGGCTATCACCGGTACTTCAAACTGAAGAAGGAACCAAAGTAATATTAATCGCCTGCCGTATTTATACACGTTATCAACTATGTGGGTGTATACATGTACGTATGACATATTTATCCACGATAACAAATCAGTGGGTGTATACATGTACATTTTCAATTGGACTGCTCACCGCCACAGTATATTATACAAGGGAGTGCATGGTTCAAGGTTTCCTGGTTTCCTCAATGCTGGTAACTTTGTCCTGGGGAAACAAAAGCATAAAGAAAGACGGAGAAATGGAATATGAACTATAGACCATAGAAGTGAAAAGCGTTCAACACATTGTATTCATTTAATAATCAAAACGATTAGACAATCGAAATTGCGTACATTAATCTTATATAAAGGAACATATAGCATAATCGAATGTGAATTTAGACTGGAAAATGTTAACCGATGGAATTTTCAATATTTACATCAACAACAGTTTTTTAGTTTTAAGATACAGTTCAAAAAAGTACATTTCATCTTTATAGAGACATAGATACAAGTTATAGTGTCGCTACAATTAACTCAACACTACAAACCAGGTATCTACGTCACACACAGGTTTGTGACGAGATTGACCAGTTGATGAAAATAACAACAGGCCTAAACAGGTCAATACTTCCAATGACCTTCATCTATAATTAATATATAATCTAAATGACAGACCGTTATAGAAGACCAGTGACACTACATTCCTATGGGTTTTAATGATCACTTAATGTCGGACTGAAAAGTGCTGAAATTTATATCAATCAATGTCCTTGTTTTGTATTGACATATGGTCTTCTTACGATTTCTCTCTTCTCCTCAAAGACCATGTAATTGATTTGGGTAACACTATTGCAAGTTATTTAATGGAAGTAAATAAAAAATATGGACTCAACAATACCATTTTCGAAAGATGATGATTTATAATTTGATATGCCGCATTTTACCATATCATCAGTTCTGTAAATATTACATTACATTTACTTGAGCCCTGCCAGCACAATGGAGGCTGCCGTATCGGGAGAGAACATGGATCAATACCCCACCATGTACGCACGAGCAATCAATATCGTCATCTCGCTACTCCATGGAAACAGGAAGAAGGGCTACTGATCCGAGAAGCTACATTATTCAATGAGTTTGAACGCAACAGTAGCTACAAAGGAAAGCCCACTACGGGCATACATTGGCTCGCAAGGACGTGACGTACACACGACCACGTGATACCATCCACCATAACTATTCCATAATGAGGCCCTCATTAGAGAAACAGTGGTGACAGAGGGAGAGGGTTGTCATTCTGTGTGGCATTCTTTTGGTAGATTTAAGAGATTTGTAAATACTGTTAGGTATAGAAAGTGAAATACGGTAACATAACAGACGACAGCGATTTAGTAGAGAAGAGGAAGTCAGGAATTTTTAAGGCAGGCTAAGCTTGAAATGCCAAATCTAGGATCATGGTTTGGTAGGATATTGTTGTTTTCGGCTGGCCTGTTCGTGTGTTTGCTCTCTCCAACTTCATGTAGCAAAGAGGACGTGACTACGAATCACTGGCTTGTGGAATTTCGCGACGATGTGGGACCGGAAGACGCCATGATGGTGGCAAAAAGGACTGGATTCACCTTCGTAGCACCGGTGAGTCTTTCTTTGAAACATATAAAGTCGGCCAAGTGAAATAGTGTCCACAACCGAAAATGTGGGCTTTTGACTAACAAGCCGTATGTTAGTATTGTTATGACATCTCGCTTCCTAAAAACGGTATTTGAAATATGCTCAAACTTGTTATGTACGGTAATTTCCCTCAAGGCATAACCATCCTCTGATTTCGGGGCATTCATAGTTCGATGACTTTGGCATAGAACGCAACATAGGATTTAACCAATGTTTGTTTCATGAACACCAATAAAATCAATTCAATATGTATACAAAATCCGTTTAGTTTCATTCAACGAATGTAGTTTCCTCGTTTGATCTGAAATAAAAAAAAAAAATTATACCTTCATGTTCTTTTCCGTTTTAGTTTCATGTAAAAGCTCCCAATAACCAACCACTGGTTAACACCTTTCCTATCTTAAATATGTTTGAAACGTTTGAAATATATTCGTTACGTAATAGAAACATTTATTCAGCATCGACCTGAGATTCCGGCACCAAACCAGTTTCTTACTTCACTGCTTATTCAATAGAATTGTACCAGCTACACCACCACTATATATATATATTCTATTATAAAAATACCACACCCTAAACTTATTACGTATTGTTTTTTCACGTCTCGCTTTATTACTCTGAAAACTTGACGAGATTAAATGGATGGATCAATAAATCAATAATTCGATATGTCTGTTGGCCATTAAATCTAGATCTAATTGGACTGATTCGAACCAACCTGCTACTGTTGGCCCTGCTATTGAGAAGAAATCAATATATTATAGATACTACCGATATAGTCGGTACGATTCAATGATACATCCTGCGGATAATTAGTTGTTCAATTTCCCTTTCACCACGAGCAACCACCACTGTGAGCATTGGTTTCTGGTCGGTTGAAACAGTAATTAATTGGACACGCTGGCCTGGGCGATTATTGGTGAGCGTTATGACTTGGACCACCTGTCCACTACTGGTCACGTGGATCGTTCACGTGGACTACACCTAATCTATATACATGTGACAAATAGTCATAAAGGCAAGTCGATGGACCCCGTGATAAACAGTTGGACTTGCAGGTAGATGAACCTCGTAATAAATAGCAAGATTTGAAACTGTATACACATGGCCGGGAAAAGATCGAGGAAAAATATTAGTCACGTAATGAAGAAAAAAAAATGGATTTCAACATTTCAAATAATCACTTTAAAGATGACGTGGTTAATGTATTCTTACTCAAAGTTGATTTGTTTTGGCATATTTTCACAATGTTTTAAGTGATACGGTATGATATATTTCCCATAGATACGGAAACGTACACTGTACACTCAACAACTATTTCAACTAGAAAATAGTCATTGTTAATGAAACCATGTTATTATTGAATTCGAGATGTTTGTTAAATTTATATAATTCGAAATTTGTATAAACAACGCAGACACGAAGTTTTTTTTAAGTGACTGCTTCCGGGAATTTCATTTTAAAATGACGCGATAGGATAGGACCGTTGGTCAAATAATGAAGTGTTAAATTTGTAAAAGGGCACTATTTACTAAAAGTAATATTTACAGGTATATCTTACGTTAAATGAGACAAGAATAAAGGAAAATAGTCTTCTAGTTTATCTCCTGTACAATCATACAACAATGGAGTTTAAAACTTACATATTAAAAGACCAGCAAGGACATTTCGTAACAGGTGTAGGCAATGTCCGTTTTATCTGTGCGTAATGTACGCTTAAAATCTCCCGATTACGGTGATGTATAACACAATCGTTATTTACAGGATGAGCAAGAAACATTCGTACTCGTAGAAATGCACTTACTGTTTTTCCAAAAACACCCTCGTCATAAAAAGGAACAAGAACGTTAATGTTGGTTTACGTTCTAGTTACTCGAGCAAAGCTGTTCCTACGGGCTATCATTTAGCTATACAACCGACCTCTCCCAATATGTAGCACTTTGTCTTATTCATTTATATGATAAGTTTACTCTATCCCGGCCTTTCACGAAAATGCAAACCACAAAAACAAGCAGGTCTATGTAGGTGCTCGATTGTCGGGACGGAAGTAGAGAAAGACAGCAATACCAGAATGATATTTACATATACTCAGCCTTTTTGTGGTCAGAAATGAGGTTTATAAATCATTGTTGACATCTGGTGGTGTTTACGTGCATTTTCCAAGTTTTGAGTCTCGATTCCTTTGAAAATTGAAGTTAATTTGTAGCCCACCATATGTTGATAACCAAATAGTCAATTGAGCGTCACTATGGTGACGGACTTATTAGGTTTCTTATCGGAGAATAATAACCGTAGGAATCCCCGTGGAAATTAACACTCGCTCTGATCCTTACTCAACTCAGTCGTGTCACCTGATAATATACATTAGGTGTATATCGGAGATCTTTGCTTCAGCCGATAATGCACCACGTGCATACGGTAAAACATGTAAAGCAATTATCATTTTGACGCTTCTCCTTTAACGTAATATTTTACATCTAAGTGGTCCCATTTGTGTTTATTTTTTATTTTTGTTTTGTGTTTTTATTTGTTCCAAAAAAAGCAATTTGGAGACTGAACCTGTCTTACAATTGCCAGACCTGCAAATAATGCGAACAGGGTGGCACTACCCTTTAATCCGAAGAAAACATAAATCAGATAAAATATTTCCAAAAGATCATGTGTGATTTATCTTATTTACAATTCCAGTGGTAGAATTCCTTTCGTACATTATAGTACAATCTAATGCTAACTGAACTAATATAATCTCCAAACATTTGGCAAGTCAGGATTGTGTGCAACCATATAAAGCACAACAAAGGAACTGTTCATGTGCAACGTTTCAATGACCAATAAGGATATGTACTATGTCACCTTCCTTAGATAAATGACAACTGATGTCCCCTTCGACGTTTGTATGACGCTGCCAACATCAACGCCGAAGGTACGTTGACAGAACTTCCGGCGACAGAACTTCCGGCGACATTTGGTTAAACGGACAGGGAACAGTTAATACTCTATTTGGATATTTTTTCCTGAAATCAAACATTGTCCTATTTGAAACCTTAGATGACGAAATCCCTTTGCTTGCATCATATTTGGTCTCTAAACTTTACTTCACCAAAACGTTCTAATAGCTTCGACAGCTTCGCTCCCCTCTGTATGGATGTGTGAGCATGTTATCTTGATTGGAATCTCGGTCTGTATGTGAGCATGCTCTCTCGATAGGAACCTCTGTCTTGAGATCAAAATTTGCTCTCTCGACTTGAACCTCTATCTGGAGATTTAAAAATGCTCTCTCGATTTGAACATCTGTCTTGAAATGTGACTAAGCTACATCTTGTATCTTGATTCAAATTCCTGTCTGTGTTAGTTTCATCTGGTCGCGTGCATCCGACGAGGTGCAGAGAGGACTTTATATATAGTTTTATTTCACAACAGGGTACATTAACTCTGTAGAGCTATTTATACAGCTATATAACAAGGTGTAAACAATAGAAATCCGCTTTGTTCAACAGTAATGATATGTAAGTATCACGGGATCTCCATTAAACCTGATACCCAAGTCAATTAATAGGAGTTAAACGATATCCTTTACATTTTCAACGAGGCACTAACAAACAACGAAGGAATTTATAAACGTCAATATAGCTTTTTATGTTAAACCATCACGTTAACATGATTATAAACGTCATTCACAAGCTTGTTCCGTAAGGTTTTACTCTTCTGTCATTTACAAGCTTGTTCCGTAAGTTTTTACTCGTCTGTCATTCACAATCTTGCTCCATAAGGTTTTACTCGTCTGTCATTCACAAGCTTTTTCCATAAGGTTTTACTCGTCTGTCATTCACAAGCTTGTTCCATAAGGTTTTACTATTATGTCATTAACAAGCTTGTTCCATAAGCTTAACACTGATCCTTAAATTGACCATAATCACAAAGATAAACAATAAGACATTGATCTTTTAAAATTCCACAAAGAAAACAATCAAAATCTATCGAATCTTTTGGAATATTCGAACATAAATAGAAGGTCTTTTTAATGACAGAACAGTTATAAACAAGGTTCCACTATTAACAACATTCTTTCCGGAGTAATTTTATTTTTCTTTAAGAAATACCATATTGCTAAAAGCATTGCTAGTCGACCGTAATTATGTGATAAGAGAACGATCAAATGGTTAAAGTAATACATTTTTGTTGAGATTTATTACATGTTCATCCAATGCTTCTCTAGGCGTTATGTTGTTAGAATGGAATTCTTTCTTTAGAAATCATAACGTTTGTCAATATCTCACAGCTAAACAGAAAATATAGGGATAGAACAGTAAAACATAAACCAAGAGAACAGAGGACGGGGGTTTGGTGTCATAAAATGGTCATACATACTCCAGAGAGGAACGAAGAGCCGGCTTTGTTATGTTACAGAGCGATTAAACCTACATAGGAAGAACGGACAATGGAGGATAATGTCACAGAATGGAGTGATTTATATGTAGGAAAAGATGGACCCATGAATTATTTCCAGAATGTTGATTGTTATCTATGAAAGAGAAATCTGGACCCGAACTAAAGATATAAAAGGATAATTGAAAATGTTTGGATTTTTTTTTTTCTCTTACATTGATGGGGTTCTATTTACTGAAACTCGATTTCCCATAGTGCTTCTGACATTATATCAAAAAGAAAGTTAGTTTTCATTGGCGCTCATCAAAAGACATGGGAAAATGAATGCGTGCTGTCATCAATTTAGCTGAGATAAAAACACACTTTGCTATGGATATATGTAAATATATGTATGGTATGGTTATCAAGAGATCATTATGTCGTCTTAGTTTATGGGCATTGTTAATCAATCAATTAATTGACTCTTTGATATTAACAATATAGCTTAAAGTAAATAGATTAACATCTGTTTCTAAAACAGAGTTGAGCCTCCTACTACGAGAACGACTGTGGTTGCAGTACACGAACAGGTCCCAGCATGGACCACATTGCGTGTTTGATGACACAACAACAAAGCGCGCACGTCGTATCACGTGACAGATCAACCAGAAGTCATCTCCGGCATGCCGATAGATACTTATTACTGTGATAACATTACTCTCGCTCCGATCACTGTCTAATACGGACGCGTATTGCCCAGAGCGTGTGGAGAAGCGTCTGCGAATATTAGAATATTTTGTGGCAACAAAAGAAATACAATATGCAACAACTTAAAACCATCTCATTTGTTTGTAATTGCTTACCGTTCTTCGTTATAAATTTACGGATTTTAAACAAATTAAATTAATTAATGCTATACTATTGGTGTTTCAATAATCAAAACAACAACGTCGGTATTGTCACTGGATCTCTATCTGCTGACGGCCATGTTCTTACGCCGGAATAAATTGGACCACCGTCACTCTGTATATTAATTTATTCACGGTTATAAGATGACGCAAGTCGTGACAACTACAGAGTTCATTGACCAAACTCCTGCTGAGTAGTTCTTAAGGAAGATATTAATATATGCTTTTTCCTCAGACAGTGGACGCCACGATCATGTTGCTCTAAAACAGAGACTGATTTCACTTCATAAAGGGATTGATACTCCGAAGGACAAAATCATCAAACGGTATTTCCCTAAGTGGAGATAGTGTATACAAAGAACAGGCACAAAAAAAAAAGGAAAAATATATGCAATTTGAGGGAGCGTAGATTTAAGATAGCTTACGAGCGTGAAAGGAAATTCTTTGGACACGAGAACAATTGGTAAGAAAACGTGCAGAGCGCCCGACAAAGTGCTGATTAGATTCTCAATGATAGCGTTCTGGAGCTAGACATCCGTTGTTGATTCTAATAAGGTGTAGACTAAAGTAGCATTATTCTGAAAATCAATGGAAATGAACACATTCAATTTAGTTTCAAGATCTCGTGTAGAAAATGAGCCCAGACGGCACCGGTGTTCTGAAGGGGAAGAATGGTTAAGTAAAGAGTCATAAAACGTCTTGGGGATAAAAAAAACACATGCTTTGGTCAAAGGACAATGACATTGCCAGATTATTAATTGTCCAAAAGTCTAGTAGATGTTTCAGTGAACCGTGTATGTTAGGGTTGAAGGAAGACTGGCAATTACTTACGTTGAAGTCGTCTTCGTTTGTAAATCAAGCTTCATAAGTGTTAGGTTTCAGATGATATCATGGTAGTATTTACTTTTAACTTCCACTGACGCTTGAAGGAAACATGAATTCAAGATACGATTTCAATTAAGTATGATACCAATGTATACTTTTAGGGATTAAGAAAAGTATATGGGTCATAACACATGACACAAGTACTCGTGCACTTAAATCTGCACTTGGTGATAGTTATACAATGAACATCTACCTATTTAACTACTAAAAGAAGCTTTTGCATGTACATTTTCTTCTTGATGTCAATTTTCCACAAAATCCGAGTTTTCAATTTTCACTCTATTCATTACAGTTGTTTGTTTACCTTTGGAATGAAAGCGCGAAATAAGTATGAATACGTCATCAGCTGACGCCTAGTTACTGGCATTTATGTTGTTGAATCCACAGTCACTACCTTCAGATTAGCCTAACATAGTAGCGATTGACGTTTGGTAATAACACCGCCTGACGCCACAACACTAACCATATATGTGTTAGACTTGCAAATGGAATGGAAAAGTTGACATATAAATTGAAGTCACTATTTAAGCTCGGCGTACCGAACAGTGTTAAAGGCCTTTCTTGTGTCCAGAAAAACGAAACTTTACTTCTAAATCAAGGTTTGTGGTAACGTGCCACTTGCAGAGAAAACAGGCAGCCGTGAATCCTTAAACTTTTCGGAAACCGTTCTGCTAGGCGATCGGTAAGGAAATGATGGTAGTCCTACATTTGATTGCTAATGACCTTTCAAATCTTATTTGTATGTGCAACACCTATAACATTAAATTGGATTAATTTGAATGGCATTGCAATAAGACTTGTTGCAATGTAATTTGTACTTAGGAAGAAACGTGCGTCGATAAATAGCAGTAACGTGTACAAGCTAAATACGTTTCTCAATCTTGGTACACATACGTTTAAGTTTTTCCTCCAAAACGCTTTTTGAACATTTAAATACAATCAATCCTTGCAGCTTTTTTATAACTACGACTATCAAATTCAACTTCGTTAGACACGTTTTGTACGATTCAGTTCATCAGAATCCAGAAATCGTTTGCTAGTTCATCAATTGTTAAATACGCTCATCCGCTTTCCCATTATAACTAATTTCCGAATGCTTATCGATACCATCGGGTGAGCTATGAATTTTACCGTCAACTGTTAACGTATAACGACGACGATGAGGCTTCCCTTTAACTTGCTTCAATACCTTATCAATAGTGTATTGCTGCACGTCGATGTGTCCTTTAAGTTTTGTTGAAGATATCGTTGATATTTATCACATGCAATTAGAATGTTTGAAGAAGTGTTTTGTCGATAAGAAATATTGTGACCGCACCTGTTTTCCCGTCGATCATTAACTTCTATCGTCGATCACAAGCACTCTGACATATTTTATAAGTGGATCGAATCTCGGTATAGGAGTAGATAATGTGTATAGCTGAGCAGCGTATAAAGTACCTGTAACAAGAGTACTAAAGGTAACCATGGTTTCATGGAGAACTTTTAATATAATATATAAATATGTAAAGTGCTATACACCGCTAGTTGAAACTGTATCCACCACATAACCGTCCATTTTCTCCAGTTCAGCAGAGAGGAAGGTTTTTCATATGGGGTTGTAGAAAACTTGGGATTCGGTAGTACACGACAAAAGTGCGATTTAGACGAGGAAATCGTCACAGGGTGTGAGAAACAAAATGCTTGGTTAGAATAATATATCCCTTGACGATGCTATGTAACTAATAGTTGATAAAACGTCACAAATGGTATTGTTGGATATACGTGGGCGTGCGCGCTCAGTTTACTTACGAGGGACTGCTTTGGTGAACACAGCTTGCAGTTAAAGATAATTCAGAGACTCCCTCCGGTTCGTCATTCACCTAAATTAAAAATAAAAATAAAAAGATAAACAAAAAACAGCGACTCACTTCCATATTCTATGATAAACGAACGATTTGTATCCTCCCTCTCCAGTACTTCTTCTTAATGTATCAAGATGGTAAGGAAAATTCTAGATCTACGCTACGTCAAACAAAAAGATAGATAAACTGTTTGACGGCCAGTGTTAACGAATATCATCAAAGCTATAAATGCGTGTAGTATATATTGACTAAACATAATAAAAACAGTCGTTTGCTTGTTCATTTACAAATGACAGCGATGTTGTCTTTACTTATTAATTTACATGTGTATAAACAAATATATAAATTGTTGGAGTCTCTTAACCAATAAACATACACAAGCTTTACAAAAGACATATCTCCCTGGCAAACTACACGAACATTTTATCATTTAACCCACCGCTGATTGGTAATACATGTACTTTTTCTATTTCCAGATGCTTGGATCTTCTCGGGAATTCCATTTTATGCACAATGCTGTGCCAAGTGTTCGTATGAGGAGAAGTGTGCTTCACACACGGTTACTGAAATCACATCCAATGGTAAGTCTCCTTATATGTTTTACTGAAATCACGCCCAATGGTAAGTCTCCTTATATGTCTTACTGAAATCACACCCAATGGTAAGTCTCCTTATATATCTTACTGAAGTCACACCCAATGGTAAGTCTCCTTATATGTCTTACTAAAATCACACCCAATGGTAAGTCTCCATATATGTCTTACTAAAATCACACCCGATGGTAAGTCATGTGAGCAAACATCATAAGTGCCTATGAGGGACATCATTAAGAGACTGATCACAAGAAATGGTATTTCCTTCCTACCACCAGGTATTTCGGGTCGTTACAGCTCGTTCTACGGAAAGTTAGTAAAATAGATATCGCTATAACTGTTATTATCAACTCTTTAGCTATTAATTCTTAGAATAAATTGTTAAGGTGATCATAATTGAAAAAGTAATAGTATCATCACGTATTTATTGATAACAATAGTACTGAGCAATGATAAGGTAATGCTAGTGTAAACGTCAGTGATTTCTTTTATCATCCTCATCATAATAATGGTAGGATGAAAAATATAATTATTTGAGGATCAAAAAACTTTGTCCTCATAATAATAAGAGGATGACAGAACCTTGTCCTCAAAAATGATAAGAGGATGGAAAAACCCTGTCATTACTTTATGTGTACAATAAACTGATGATAACGGTATTAGACAAATTGCAGATATTTAAAGTACAAAATCACAGGAGATAACAGATAAGTATCAGCGATTTTTGAGTGGGTAGAGGCCCAAATTCAAATCCATCCAAACGTGTTTTTCCACCTTACATTACTTAATCATTTTATAAATATTTTTTTGCGATAACGCTTTCCGATAAGTCAGCTCGGCTGTACAATTGTTTCGTTTACACTTTCTGATAAGTCAGGTCGGCTGTAATATATGTTTCGTTTACACTTTCTGATAAGTCAGGTCGGCTGTAATATATTTTTCGTTTAAACTTTCTGATAAGTCAGGTCTCGGCTTTGATATTTCTTTCGTTTACCTTTTCTGATAAGTCAGGTCTCGGATTTAATATTTTTTTCGTTTATACTTTCTGATAAGTCAGGTCGGCTTTAATAATTATTTCGTGAACGCTTTCTGATAAACCAGGTCGGAAGTTATAATTTTTCGTTTACTCTTTTCAATTAGTCAGGTAGGATGTTATAAATTTTCGTTTACTCTTTTTAATTAGTCAGGTCAGATGTTATAAAATAAAAACGTTAACAATGTCTGAGTCAGGTTGGCTCTAATACCACTTTAAATCTAAATTCATTATTTGGTTCTTACTGTTGTCTGTTCATGATTTTGCGTTCAGAATATTTTCGTTTGTAATGACACCATTCTATATTATATCTGCTTTTTGTAAGACACTTCAGTATAGTTTGTCCTAGTATTTTTACACTAGGACAAATATTAGACGGTAGCACATACAACAACATTTCTACAGTGGGTTACACATATTGACAAAATATACAACTCGGAAGTGAATGTCGATAAGAAAAAAACCTGCAACAGAAACCGCGGTGATACCAGAATATAAAAGAGTGAATCAACAATGTCCTTCACCTGTCAGGATATCTTCTATCATATCCCGCAAGTTTGACATATTATTTACCAGTATGTATTATATTCCTTCGTCACGAGTGTTAATTTGTTTTTTTCTCTATAGGTGAGGCGAGCAGTACAACAACTGGGCTATGTACGATCCAAACGAGGCTACAAACCTTTAAAGGGAATACCTGTATCTGAAATCAAACTACAGGCCCCGGATATAGAACATTACTTACTCAATCACGATCTCACTGCGCAAAACGTCGAACAGTCGGGAAATTCTGAGCCAACACCCAATGATCCTTTGTTTGCGAAAGAATGGTACCTGGTAAGTCCCATTATATTGTACAAATCTATAATGCTAAATGGAAAAAGGTGCTGATTTTCCACTAATTACCAATTGAAAGATATAGTTAACGCTTGACGGCCTATGGTGGCATATTTCTGCCATCTAGTTACTTTAAGGTTGTGTTACGTTAACACGACTTGTGAGATAATTAATGTATTGCGAAATATCGCGCTATTCTGTTTCATAAGTTTAAAAAAAAATGGCAGATTGACGCGATAATCATTTCAGCCGGTCAAGGTCGAGTTTCGTGATAATATAAATCGCACCGGTCGTCATAATTATCATGACAAGTTGACGTTCATTTTGTTAAAAGTTGCATTAATGAAACAAATTAAAACGACTTGATGCAAAATAGATTTCGACAGGGCGTGTTACCCATTACTCATGTTAAATTAGAGGATGGTAGAAATAGGCCAGCATACAAATGAAACAACTGTCACAACGGGTAGAGATTGAAGTCTGGTATTACACGGGTAGAGTTTGAAGTCTGGTATTACACGGGTAGAGGTTGAAGTCTGGTATTACGTTTCTTGTTTGAACAAATGGTCGACTAAGACATGTTATGACAGAGAATCGTTGTCAAAAGTGACGCTTAAGGAAACTCACTGTAGTCAGTGGCAGCGCTAAAATAGAAGAAAAAAAGGGTGAATATAGATTTTGTGTAGTTTCGGAAGGGTTTGGAGATCTGATAGGATAACCCGCTAGACAAACTGTTAGCAGACACTGTTCTAGGTTAAGCCATTCGATGATATCTTGAGCTTACAATCTCGCCATGGATAGTCTGTCATTCTGCTTTGCCGAGTCTTCGATGGAATCGATTTTGCATTCTCGGATCAGAATTTAATGTCAACGACCAAATCCTTCCTAAAAACATTAGAACAGCTTTCAGTCTGGTGATCAACTGGGTCCAGGTCGGGCTTGTCTGCGTCACGAAGGTTCTTCATTTGATCTGTTGAAATACTTCGACTTTACCAGACGAGCTAAGATGGAAATCTGTACAATATTTTCGAACGACATTCTACATAATATATTTAACTTTTGTTGAAATTAATTTATCTTTTGATCCTCACTCCTAACAGATAAATCTCTAATCTTTCAATGATAACGATTAGTTTTTAATATATGAATAGAGAAAGGGACAAATACCAACGAGGGGCCGCCACACAAGGCCCGTTCGATTTGCACTCGCTAGGTACCCGAAAGGCCATCCGGCTAAGTGGTTGCTTGGCTCGATTGAAATAAAAGTTATTTACCCACCATCGCCTACCCGAGCAGAGCACATCACTGTGTTAACTATTTCATGTGCCTTAGTTTAGCGACTTCTGTTTTCTAATATTTTTTTAACGATTGGTGTGATAAATGTTTATCATAACGAGCTTGCATGAGGTGAGGAATTCAGATTTCTTCCTCAAAATTATCCTCAAAATATCACTTGAACACATTAAGATTGATAATCACTTAAAAAGAAATGCTTACATGTAATTTGCACTACGAGTTCTATTTAATGAAGTTTTTTTCGCATTTGTTAAACTTGGAATATTTTGTGAAACATAGTTTAGCCGTCTGATGTAAGGTACTTGTCTATGCTAGCTAGAAATGTCCTTTTCAAATATCGATATCGTCAATGTCCCAATAGGTTAAGTATAGCAAGCCCAGCGCTGTCAAGACGAGGACCGACACTAAATGGTGTAGAGTCCTGGTTCACGTCAGCGACAAATATATTAGTGGAAATTAACTGATTGGCGGTCACCTGCCGGTCAGCTCTTAGCGATTGACACTTCCGACCCACTTCACCTTGGTTTATGTACAGGTCGATACCTCGCGATCGGGGGAACCAACTGTTAAAGGAATCATTCCTTCACGTCTTACTTACATTGTTAGTGAAGCTTGTGACGACGAGAAGTTAAAAGATGCATAAACACACTTAGTTACTAAAAAGGAAAAAGGAAGTCATTTCTAAATCATTTCAGTAAGAGAACATTTTGGTTGATGGTTTTACTGGGTTTACTTCTAAATAGACTCTAAATGTTACAAGCCTATTCAAATGTAAGATAAAATACAACCTTTGCAAAGAATACGAAAGACAGCATAACTAAAAGGTCATCAGCGATCATTAGTAGCGGAAGCCAGTAAAGGGCTTTAATGGTGGCCGTCAATGGTGGACGGTTTTATTTAGAATACATGAGTTATATTGTATGACTTACATTTGATATAATGACGAAGTGACTGACTGCTGTCTGCAGTTATATGCACAAATTGAGGAAATAAGTAATGAAATTTGAATGAAAGAATAACCCCAAGAGAAGCTTATTCAGAATAACATCCGTAATTTCCCCTTAACAAATATTGGCGATATTTTGTATGTTGTCCCTTGTTCAGATAAGAAACGTATACCTATACACAACAATCCAACTACTGATACCCTATTCGCTGTTTTACCAGGCACTGAAATAAAGGCAATGACCGGGGGTTTGACCGAACATGACCACACCGCGATATCTATTAGAAGCCTTTCAAACACTGTCAGAAGTTGATGCGGACCATTTGCAATTAGGAGCTACCGAATGGACACCATCTTCTTAATTAACATTTATTCATGTGTAGAAAATTGGTCAAATTAGAGCTTCGTCTAACTCAAGCTTATCGACAAAGCGTCGTTGAAGGTGATATGATGACTTGTTCATTGTTGACTTGCTGGGAGAGATAGTCACTAACCTTCAACTTATTATACCGCGATACTCTCTGTCATATCGTTTTTGACGGCAGGATTGGGTACTGGTAGTAAAAACGCAAACATAATTATTATCTCAATTACGTTTAAAAAAAAGTATACACATCAAGATTAAACAAAAACATTTACATGAGTATTTATCCATTTTGTTTACAACGCGATTTTTTATTCATTTGTTTTTTTATTGTTTTATAAGCATCCAATGATGGACTGAAAAAAAAAAACATACTAAGCGGGAATTCGAAACACGGTCATTTATTGGTCAACTTCAAAATCAATAAGTCATCGATAAAAAAAAATTCTCATTGCAAAATTAAAATAATAATTATAATGAAAAGGTTTTCCTCCTATAGAATTTGTTGTGTTAAGTATTAAAAAATGCTTGTAAGGAATAAACTAGACAATAACAAGGCAAATCACTCGATAAGCCGATAACTTAAGTTAAAAAAACTAAATAAAATCAAACCTTGAATCTGTAAACGTAAAGGGTAATATAAGGCGTCTTATGAAACATGAAATGTGATCACTCTCTTCTTATTGTATCAGAATATTTAATGTTTGTTAAAAACCTCGCTACAGTAACTATACATAGCTACCCTTACAAACGTGCTTTGTTTATTAAGATACTTTGATACTGAAACGTTCCTCAGTATTAATATTTTGGTAGCTTGTTGTTTTCTAGGATTTTGCCTGAAATTCGAGTATCACCTTCTTCTAGAATGCGTTGGTCTGGTGTTTTTCTGTGAGATTGCCGTGAAGTTGAAAACAGCTTCCGCCCATACATAGATAACTTGTGGGTTTACGTTAGGGTTGCCAGGAAGTGGAACGGAGTTAGATTTTCTGAGTTTTACATGTTACCAGGAAACTGAGTGGAGCGAGATTGTCTTATTGTTTTCTCGAAGATTGCCGAGATCGTACGGTGAAATTAATTGGTTCTGTGAAGTTGACAGGAGGTTGAGTACAGTGAGAGTGTCTGAGTGTTAACTTCTGTTGGGGTGCTGGGGTACTCGAATCTACGCGTGGCAATTTGTAATGGATGGCTGGCTATTTGTCAAGAAATAGGATCTGCTAGCCCTGAAAGATGGAATTAGTAAGTTGTTTCCCGGTAATTATACGCACGCGACGGCAGTCGTAACGTTCAGCTGTGGTATGACAAGGTCGGGTACCGCTATCCAGATCGATAAAACAGCACGGAAACAGCATTACTTAATTTAATACCCGGAAACTCATATAATAACACAGCGACCTAAATCGTTAGATTGCTATAGAAATGTCCATATGAAAAACTTCCCATTCCCGATTTGCAAATTCACTGGAATCAGCAAATAACTTAATATAAAGTCATGTTTTCCTGTCTGGATAAAGAACTTTATCGCATATATCTATCGAAAAAACCCTGATCGACTGACTGCCTGCCGACTCACCCTCCTACCAACTTACTCCGCCTCTCACTCACAACCTACCACTGACTCTTACAAACAACCTTCCCCAAACTGACCCCTGCTACCAGTGTACCTCAGACAAACTCCAACTACCGACTTACCTACACCGACTTACCCTTACCTACACCGACTTACCTACTATCCACTTACCTACTACCGACTTACCTACACCGACTTACCTACACCGACTTACCTACTACCGACTTACCTACTACCCACTTACCTACACCGACCTACCTACACCGACTTACCTACACCGACTTAGCTACCACCCACTTACCTACTACCGACTTACCTACACCGACTTACCTACTACCAACTTACCTACACCGACTTACCTACACCGACTCCGATCATGTTAATACATGTATAACTCCGGCTGACAATGTCAACTCGCGTTTTGACCAGACTAACCATTTAACCACGGTTTTAACCGCGACTGACCATGTTGATCCCGTTATGACTTTACTCGACCATGTTTAACCCCATTTTGTCCCTCCTATTCCATTTAAATTCCTCTATTGATTGCTGTGCGTATGACGTGATCCAGCGCTTTAATCCAATGAATGTTTCATCTGCGTGTTTCCGACACATTAGCTCTACACGAATACAATCAGGAACTATTCCCCCGGATACATCGTTGACAGGAATAAGGGCGCTTCCGGATAGTGAATCGAGCGCTTCCGGATAGTGAATCGACTTTTTTAAAATATATTATCTTTTTCTTGAAATCTCTTGGTAGACGGTAATAAATTTGGACTACTATGGTCTACCATGACATATAGATAAAGTAGTATCAGTAGAGGATGATGTAAACTCATGGTAGCTCCTGTATGTAAACTCATGGTAGCTCCTGTATGTAAACTCATGGTAGCTCCTGTGTGTAAACTCATGGTAGCGCCTGTATGTAAACTCATGGTAGCTCCTATATGTAAACTCATGGTAGCGCCTGTATGTAAACTCATGGTAGCTCCTGTATGTAAACTCATGGTAGCTTCTGTATGTAAACTCATGGTAGCTCCTGTGTGTAAACTCATGGTAGCGCCTATATGTAAACTCATGGTAGCGCCTGTATGTAAACTCATGGTAGCTCCTGTATGTAAACTCATGGAAGTTCCTGTATGTAAATTCATGGTAGCTCATGTATGTCAACTCATGGTAGCTCCTGTATGTAAACTCATGGTAGCTCCTGTATGTAAACTCATGGTAGCTCATGTATGTAAACTCACTTTAAACTTATATATGTTAACTCGTGTTAACTCTTGCATTTAGATTACTGTTTATAAGCTTGTTAACTAATGTAAATTCATCACAATGCACCGGTCACTGTATAACAGTATAAACACTTCGTGTTGTTCGCTGGCGGGTATTATGTAATTGCTGGTATCCATATACGTAAGCTAACGGAGGACAATCAATACAACTAATGCTATTTAGTATACAAGGTACTGCTCCAATAAGCAGAATCACGTCTGACTTTAATTGTATTTTCCATCAATATTTAACAGGCAGTGGGCAGTGGAATAGTAAATTACAGAATCGATGATCAATTGTTTATGCTCTCAGTAAGCGATACATTAGCCGCCGGCTCCTGTCGTAGTAAACACTTCTAGTGATATGCTGTGGGAGGGCAATATCAGACCCTCAAAGACGGATAGTCTACGTGTACATAGCAATCTGCCGCCTACGCATGTTGCTTAGAATAAACAACGGCCCAGTCCTAAATCTGGAGAGAAAAATCGATGTCTACTGGCTACTAACGATTTATGTAGAAACTATTTTTGTATAGCACTGTGTTTAATGTTTTTTGATAAATCTATTAGAAATTTGTAATGATTCTGTGTGTCAATGTTTTTTGAATTAATTATCTGATCGTTATTTGTACTTTTTCCACAGAAAAATACAGGCCAATCTGGAGGAATTCTGGGTTTGGACTTGAACGTGGAGAAGGCATGGGCCATGGGCTATACAGGAAAGAAAGTCACCACCGCCATCATGGACGACGGTCAGTGTCATGTCAGGGACGGGCAGTTATTTAGTACATGTTGTTTTCATTTTACAGAATATATATAATTATACTCTAGAGACAGAAGTAATAGTATAACGCCCTTCTAATACCAAATACTAATCTTTCCTAACATTATGTCGGTACAGTTTGGAGGCTCCTTACAAATAACGACATTCAAACAGAAATTGTAATCCTTGCTCCGTCCAAACTATAATGTACAGTCAGCGTTGTAGTCAATCGTTACTGCTTTATGAAAATGGATGCCGCCGTAACAAGGTTATTACTATGTTTATAGTCAGTGGAAGCCATATAACAGGGTTGGTATCGATTTGTACTCCCGAACTATGTGGGAACCAAGGTCCAGGGCTAGATTACAATCGTACCCTTAGAATTGTGTCAGCGGCATTGCTACCTGATATCGATGTTGCAGGAAATTATCGCCAGGAACGGAAATTCAACCAACCACATTCTAGGCGACATATTCACAAATGGATAATCTTGAAAATTCCCAAACAGGGGGATATGAAAAGATTGTTACAAAATATTTGAGAAATGTTAGATTCCATGACACATCATGCCAAAGCCACGTGTGGTTCATAAAAAGTTTACCTTTACCTGAAGCATTTGGTTTCAGCACTTTTTTATCGGAATTTTTGGTTGTCTTTCCTCTGCTTTAACGTCATATATATATAATAAAAAGGGATTAAATGTCCATGTGAAGAAAGTAAATATAGAAAAAATAAGATTAGTCGGTCGTTAATCTTATTTTTTCTATTTATATATTGGTTTCAATTCTCCTTTTGACCTTCCCTCATATCAAATCGGATCCAGTCAATACATTTCTTCCCCCTGGTGGCATGCTTATTACATCTTTTCTCTTGACTGGTTGGTTGTCCCTGTCATGAATACGTAAATTAAGCATTCAGTTCCCGTCCTGATTAGCCAGTCCTCAATGTTTGATTTTATTTAACGTCGCTTGTGGATAACGTTTCTCGACAAGTATGTGTGGTAGAGTCTATTCGGCAGTGATAAGGTTAAACCTGATGCCTTAAACTAATCAGTCTGGCATTTGGACTTTTGTAATTAAATCAAGTGGAGACATGTATCTGAAAATATAGTCCCTGGACACATTATGAATAAGACTGTGTCCAGCATCTAATCTAGAATACTTCCTTAAATCTATTATATATCAAACGAGGCTACTTACATGAGTAAAACTCTTCCAAAACAACCTGGCATCTTGCTTTTGTTGTTCTCCTGATAGATGTTACAAAACAGATCTATTTTCAGTTTTATAATGCTGAACAAAGTACTGGATATATACGATTACGTTTATGTATTGAAATATGGAACATGGCACCTATTGTCTGTGACAGGTTGTTTTATATTATACACCGACCTGCCACTGATCATTTAGTCATGCCCCGTATACTGGTCTGAGGGGGATACAGGGACGCAATGACTTTAATGAATTTAACGGTCTTTTTACATACAGAAGTAGTTTATGTCTGGTGTTGAACACAAATATTGGATTATTTATGACGACACACCTCTGCAGACACGATATTGATAAGTACTAGTGTTGCATGTGTGTCATCTGTGCGCTTGCCCATCCCCACTGTAAACATACCCGACAATGCCACCACGTAGTAGCGTAGATAGAAACTCTGGAGAATGGGTATCATTTACAAAACTGTAAAGTATAAAGTGACGTTCTATGAATAACACAATTATTTGTATTCCACCCACACCCTTAACTATCACACGTCCCAAAGGACCACTGGCCATTTTTATATTAATCCTAATTGCGTAAATATGTATTGATTTACTATTGGATGTCTAAAAACATTGTATCATAGTTTATTGGATGAGGTTTTCCCCTTGAATAACAAGAATTTTGACAAATACTTGGATATTGTTGATCCAAAACCAGCCCCTCTCGTCAGAGTTAACTCCTAGTATCTACCAACTCATCAGATTGGTTACCTCTCTAGTACAACCAATTAAACTTAAAGTTAAAGATAACACAGCCCCTCTCGTCAGAGTTAACTCCTAGTATTTATCAACTCATCAGATTGGTTACCTCTCTAGTACAATGCAGAATAATGACAATAGATTGAACGCTCCTTATCTCAGTAATAACAATTAAACATCAGCTCCGTAAGAGTTGACATGTCTACTCCTCACTTATCACTCTAGAGCCTGTTCTGTCTGCATAGATGTACCTTTATGATGTTATCACTTCACTGGTGCTGAATTAACATCCAGCAGAAACGGTGGTCATCCTGGGCTGCTGTCTCAGCTGTTATCCTACAATGTCAGTATCTAGCTTGATAAAATATTTAGTCACTACTAATTAGATTGTTTGCGGTCTACGTAACGTCCTTGTTCTGGCGAAGAAAACATTGGTTGCTTTAAATGCTATGCAGGGAACAAGAATCCGATGAACTCAATTTAGCCTTCAGTTGTTTGTGTGGGCTTCGCAGTATTTATTACTATTTTTGTTCCTGTTGTTGTCTCATTCATATCGACTAAAAGTTTGCCTTTGTGTGCTATTTTAGTAGTCAGATGCTGAGAATTTGTGTCAACACACAGCTAAACGGATACATTTTAATTTTCACAAAAGAATGAATGATATTTAGATATAGAACCTATGCATACTACTGTATATTTACACCGTTCACAACCGTATGAAGGCACAGTCAATACCAGCAGCATCAAGAAGGATAAGATAAATCATATATGCCTTTAATAAAGAATGGTTGCCATATTTGGCGGTTTTACGGCCGTAAACCGATAAGCGTTCATTTCTGAAAGTCAATACCTTTTGGTCAGACCTACATAAAATGCTGTAATTGAAACAAATCCGTTTGACCACTTGTTAGATATTTGGGGTCAAAATAGGAGGAGGAAATGACATGTTCCCGATTTAAAACCAACAACTTTTTCCTTTTGGCATTAATAAAAATATACATTTTATAAACCAATATAATTAACTAAAAAGTAGATCACATTTGCCTCTTGTGCTGTGTCAATAATTTCGTCATATGACCTTGGGTTGTGTGTAAATAATGTCGCTATATGACATTGGTTTGTGTGTCGGTAATGCCGTCATATGGCCTTGGGTTGTGTGTCAATAATGTCGGCATATGACCTTGGGTTGTGTGTAAATACTGTCGTCATATGGCCTTAGATTGTGTGTCAATACTGTCGTCATATGGCATCGGGTTGTGTGTCAATATTTTCGTCATATGACCTTTGCTTTTATTACGACATCAACCCCAGTCGATCACTGACGACTGAATAGAATTCGGTACTGTACGGATGTAAAACTCTCTATTAGTGACGTGTTTTAATTTGACTGGTGGGTCGATTCTGTGATGACGTCAGTCCACCGCGTCAATCAATCTCGCCACGAACGAATGTCAGCTCGCGGGCAGGGTATATGCAAGTATGGCAGAGCAATCTCTTTCCCTTTTATATTACACAATAATTACTATTGTTCAATCGATTTTTGAAGTATTAATTAAATTCATGAAAACAGGACAGTATCCCTCATTTCCTGCATAATCTGAAATGAATTCTGCTGGTTCAAATAAAACACAACACGCATGGCAGGAAATCATTCTGTTTTTCCAAGCATGTATTGTTAAATAAGTATATCAGTTTTACATAAAAAAAATATCATGATAATAATCAGACGTCAAACTCCTATATGTTTTTACCTCCAATACGTGTTTACTGTCACCTGTTTCCGTCACATATTAATCAATACTTATTTATCAACTAGAGTAGATCCATTAGAAGTTATGGCGTGCTTAAACAAGATGACGAAATTAATTTGTGAGTAGACGTTGGCGAGTCTCAGGTAAACATCGCTGACGACGGGTTATGATATTTGGTCATGAAGACCTAAGAAATGTTTTTGTTTACGAAGAAGAAGCATGAGGAGATCCGAGGAGCTTTTTCCAGACAATTCTGCACGTTCTGTTCAAGTTCAAGAAAACAAATAGCATAGGTGGAATACTTTTGAAAATATAAACATTTTGAAAACATATTTGATAATAACCAGTGATACTAGCTTCATTCAATATCCAAACGATAAGAGCTAGTTCGTGGTTCCTCTGTCATTCTCATTTTTAAATTGAGTGTACATTCCGTTGCTGTTTTGAAGTTGACTTGTATAATAAACAAGAAGACTTTAACTCTTTAACGGTACAGTTATACCGCATTTTGAATTTGTTTTTTAAACATATATAGTCCTCTCTTCAAAAAACATCGGATCCCAGAAATTCGCACAAAGAACAAACGTAAATATTCTAAATGTGTTCTTATCTTACATTCTATCGATGGTTTTATCTTAACTTCCACTGGTGGCCTTTTCATAAATTTTACTGATGGCCTTGTCTTATATTCTTCTGGTGGCCTTGTGTTATATTCTACTGGTGGCATTGTCTTAAATTATTTTGGTGGCCTTGTCTTAAACTGTACTGGTGGCCTTGTCATAAATTGTACTGGGGGCCTTATCTTTAATTCTACTGGTGGCCTTGTTTACAATTCTACTGATGACTTTGTCTTATAATCTACTGCTGGTCTTGTCTTACATACCTTGTGTACTGACCAAAGAATTATTTCCCCATTATTCACTAAATAAAATGAGCTTACCCGGGAATGACACGAGAGTTACGCTTGCTTCCAGTACCACTTTAGGTAAGGGATCACAAGAACAAAACTTCGTCTTCAGAATCCGAAGATCCTGTTTGATTGATCAGTATACAATATTGGTCGTGACAGCAGTTTGTTAGTTGATTTATCTATAATCTGATGAATAGAAGCAGTCTCGAGACTCAGGAAAACAAGCGACGGCGTTATTAGACGTCACTGGCAGCGCTCCATCCATCAAACAAAGGATAAGTGTCGGACGAATGGTGATAAATCGACAACTAATCAGGTTACTAAAGGCCAAATGTGACTTAATTTCATTTTGTTATTACAAAAACATCAAATGGGAGAAAGCGTTATTAATATGTGTGTCTGTGTGGCCTACGATGTTTGTTCGGGTCGGCTAATCGTTCGCACTTAACAATACCATCCATCACGTCTCCTGTACAACTCGGATCAATCGTACCCGGGATCAATGTAACGGCCATGCACCGATAACACGACACATGCTATTGTACAATCTATTCGTCCACATAGCTACACGTATCACATCGCTCGGCAGTATAGGCACCTCGCGAGACGCACGGGACAGTGTGACGTCATTTACAACAAAGCAAAGGTTTATGGGTAGATATATGATGCTTTTCATTGTCCTGTTTTGGACAATGCTATGTACATCTATTGCCCTATGCCTGGTGCCAAGGATTGGTTTGCCATGGGTTTATTTTGTTTAGCGTCCTATTAACAGCGATGGTCATTTAAGGACGTGCTTCCATTCAATGCGTATTGTCCATGCGTGTATGCGTGTATGTGTGCTGGAGGCGGGGTATGTTGGTGTAGTTGACTTCTTGTGATAGCTTGGATCTTTATAGTGCTAACTCACTGAAATATCATAACGAAGGCACATAGTACAGCATTCTGTCCGGTGACATTTTAATGACAACGGACGAACCAGTTTTTGTAAGTTCCCAAAATGCTGAACGTTAAACAGGGAATAACAACTACCGGTTTTAAGGGCTTTAGTACATCCTGGCCTGGGGACAAACCCCGTTGCTTTCCCCTCCTGGGCGAACGCTTAGCACTAAGGCCAAAGTGGGTCATTGCCAAGCAAGGCGCTAGGAAACATAAGAATTAGTTAGAAGCACAGAGAAATAAAAAGATTCCAGTGATTGCAATGAGTGCAGCAGATTTATTTTGTTCGGGTTTTTTTTTGTCTGTGACCAGAGGGCACAAGAGCGAATTCCAAATTCTGCAGGGGGTCTCCCATTAGTAGCCTCTTACGAGAACCCTTTTTCATCGCTTTTCAGAACACTTACATCCTACGCGAATTATAATGCTATACGTAAAGGGGATCGCTAGTATATCAATTAAAAATGACAAGTTATGTTATAAAACGAAACAAGACTGCTTACACAATATGATGGTTTGTTGATAATTAAAAAAAAGCATGGTTTTTTTCTAGCTTGATAGTAAACATAAAGCCTACTATATTGAAATGAACATGAACCAAAGCCGACTAGTAGCTGTGATAGATTTCCCTTAGAGCATTAATGATACTGAGACTTTAGCCTGCATAATATATTGTATTTAGAATCTATACCGGGTTTTATCTTGTATTTTAGAATTGTATCGGTACTGACTCTTTATCCGGTATAAAATAGTTAACATTATACCGAGGCTTTATCCTTAATTATAGAATTTAAATTATACTGAGGCTTTATCCTTAATTATAGAATTTACATTATACCGAGGCTTTTATCCGAAATAATAGAATTTGAATTAAATGTACATTGAGTATTATTTCTTGTGAGTTTTTTCTATACCGGGGCTTTATCCTATAAAATATAACTCAAATAACACCGGGTCTCATCTTGTATGATATAATTGCATCTATACCATGGCTTTATCCAATTTAATATAATTTTAATTATACCGGGGCTTTAACATTTTAGTCGAGTTTTAATTATATCTGGCTTTTTTCCTGTATACAGAGACTTTAATTACTCTGAGCTTGTACCCTACTTGCGTACATCATATTCTCATGCTGTGTTTTTCCTTTAACAGGTATTGATTATTTACACGAGGATCTGAGACACAATTACGTAAGTAATCTAATTAGTGACGGACTGATGAAATCCTAGTAATGACCTAATAAAAGCATTACCCCTGCGATGAATTGGCTTTCTCACTCAAGGTTAAAATAGTCCAGTTCATAATGTCGTGGGCTTTCTCGCTCTCTTACCTTAACAACTCAACGTCATAATGTCGTGGGCTTTCTCGCTATTTAACTTTAACCACTCAACGTCATAATGTCGTAGGCTTTCTCGCACTCTAACCTGAACAACTCAACGTCATCACGTTGTGTGCTTTCTCGCTCTCTAACCTTAACAACTGAACATCATCACCGTGGGGGCTTTCTCGCTATTTAACTTTAACCACTCAACGTCATAATGTCGTAGGCTTTCTCGCACTCTAACCTGAACAACTCAACGTCATCACGTTGTGGGCTTTCTCGCTCTCTAACCTAAACAACACAACGTCATCAAGCTGTGTGCTTTCTCGCTCTCTAACCTTAACAACTGAACATCATCACCGTGGGGGCTTTCTCGCTCTCAAACCTTAACAACTCAACGTCATCATGTTGTGTGGTTTCTCGCTCTCTAACCTTAACAACTCAACGTCATCGCGTTGTGTGCTTTTTTCGCTCTATAACCTTAACAGCACAACATCATCACGTTGTGGGCTTCCTCCCTCTCTAACCTTCACAACTCAATGTCATAATGTCTTGGGCTTTCTCGCTCTCTAACTTTAACAACACAACATTATCACGTTGTGGGCTTCCTCGCTCTCTAACCTTAACAACTGAACATCATCACGCTGTGGGCTTTCTCGCTCTCTAATCTTAACAACACATCGTCATCACGGTGGGGGCTTTCTCGCTCTCTAACCTTAACAACTCAACATCATCACTCTGTGGGCTTTCTCGCTCTCTAACCTCAACAACACAACGCTATCACGGTGGGGGCTTCCTCGCTCTCTAACCTTTACAACACAACGTCATCACATTGTGTGGTTGCTCGCTCTCTAACCTTAACAACTGAACGTCATCACGGTGGGGGCTTTCTCGCTCTCTAACCTTAACAACTCAACATCATAATGTCGAGGGCTTTCTCGCTCTCTAACTTTAACAACACAACGTCATAACGTTGTGGGCTTTCTCGCACTCTAACCTGAACAACTGAACATCATCACGGTGGGGGCTTTCTCGCTCTCTAACCTAAACAACACAACGTCATCACGTTATTACTTTCTCGTACTCTAACCTGAACAACTGAACATCATCACGGTGGGGGCTTTCTCGCTCTCTAACCTTAACAACACAACATCATCAAGGTGGGGGCTTTCTCGCTCTCTAACCTTAACAACACAACGTCATCACGTTGTGGGGGCTTTCTCGCTCTCTAACCTTAACAACTAAACACCATCACGGTGGTGGCTTTCTCGCACTCTAACCTTACCAACTGAACGTCAGCACGGTTGGGGCTTTCTCTTTCTCTTACCTTAACAACTCAACGTCATCACGTTGTGGGCTTTCTCGCTCTCTAACCTTAACAACTGAACATCATCACAGTGGGGGCTTTCTCTTTCTCATACCTTAACAACTCAACGTCATCACGGTGGTGGTTTTCTCGCTCTCTAACCTTAACAACTGAACAGCATCGCGGTTGGGGCTTTCTCTTTCTCTAACCTTAACAACTCAACGTTATCACGGTGGTGGCTTTCTCGCACTCTAACCTTACCAACTGAACGTCAGCACGGTTGGGGCTTTCTCTTTCTCTTACCTTAACAACTCAACGTCATCACGGTGTTGGTTTTCTCGCTCTCTAACCTTAACAACTGAACAGCATCACGGTTGGGGCTTTCTCTTTCTCTAACCTTAACAACTCAACGTCATCACGTTGTGGGCTTTCTCGCTCTCTAGCCTTAACAACTCAACATCATCACGGTGGGGGCTTTCTCGCACTCTAACCTTAACAACACACCGTCATCACGTTGTGTGCTTTCTCGCTCTATAACCTTAACAACTGAACAGGATCACGGTGGGGGCTTTCTCGCACTCTAACATTAACAACACAACGTCAACACGTTGTGTGGTTTCTCGCTCTCTAACCTCAACAACTGAACAGCATCGCGGTTGGGGCTTTCTCTTTCTCTAACCTTAACAACTGAACATCATCACGTTGTGGGCTTCCTCGCTCTCTAGCCTTAACAACTGAACATCATCACGGTGGGGGCTTTCTCGCTCTCTAACCTTAACAACACAACGTCATCACGTTGTGCGCTTTCTCGCTCTATAACCTTAACAACACAACGCCAACACGTTGTGTGGTTTCTCGCTCTCTAAACTGAACAACACAACGTCATCACGTTGTGGGCTTTCTCGCTCTCTAACCTGAACAACTCAACGTCATCACGTTGAGGGCTTTCTCGCTCTCTAACACTAACCACTCAGCATCATCACGTTGGGGGCTTTCTCGCTCTCTAACACTAACCACTCAGCGTCATGCTGTTGACTTTCTGACTGTTTAACATGAATACTCAATTTCATAATGTTGGGTGCTTTTTTACTCTCTAATATGAAATTGTTGACTCAAAGAGTAATAAAATATTAATACGCATCTTTAAATTTCATTTTCATATTACATAAGATGTCTACACACATGATGTTATTAGCATGCTTGACTTTCGTGTTTTCAGAACGCCGCAGCCAGTTATGATTTCAGCAGTAACGACCCATACCCGTATCCACGTTATACAGACACGTGGTTCAATAGGTACGTGCTTTGAAAGTGCTATGAAAAGGCACATTGATGACATTGTTTAAATCACAGAAAATTAATAGGGATAAGCTTACATATAGTTAAAGGTCAGTTGATTTAACTGTGAGTTATCACTGATACATGCATTATAGTAAAATGGTAGTTTAGCTGTTCTAGTTGTGTGTGCTGACACAAGTTATAATCGAAAGTCATGTTATTATCTATTTCACAATGTCACATACGATGTGTCATAATTGTACCTGATTTTATGGGTTTGGTATGTCCACACAGCCACGGGACACGCTGTGCCGGAGAGGTGTCAGCCGCCCGGGACAACAAGGTCTGTGGAGTGGGCGTGGCTTATGATTCCAAAGTGGCGGGTAAGTAGAACAGGTTTCCATTGACGGGTGCCGTAATCCATGAACAGTTATAGACCAGAATCTCCTTCCATGCCCGTACTTATGCTGTGTATCCAGGATATATCATTGCCGTTTTCGGTTTACCGAACGTGTTTTTTATCTCTCGAATTTTCTACAACAATGTTAAGAGCAACAATTAAACGACAGAGATGTTGATTAAAGATAAGTGTAAAGCAAGATTAACTCTTGGTGGATAGCGTATACGTGAATGCCTTTCACTAAGACGGTAAGTACCTTATCTCAAAAACCTTCCGATAAAGCTTGTTAAGGACTCTATATTTGTGACATTTCCATACCAGCAGCAGCAACATAAAACTGTACACTAAGGTTGTTATACTAGTGAAAGATAACCATATTCGTATAAATTTCTTATAATTCGTAACCACAGCTAAATAATATACTATAATATGTTCGCTCTCTTGTTGGCATATTTGTGTGTCATGTCCCTAAGCGTATAGTGTAAGTAAAGTGCTCTCCTACTGTAAATATTTGTCTTGTAGGGCTACGGATGCTAGACCAGCCGTTCATGACGGATTTGATCGAGGCAAACGCCATGGGACACATGCCCAATGATATCGACATTTACAGCGCCTCCTGGGGGCCAACGGATGACGGCAAGACAGTAGATGGGCCGCGCAATATGACGATGAGAGCGATTGTGCATGGCGTCAACGAGGTAATGGCGTAAATTTGTCTGTAAAGGTCTACTTATAGTATTTAGGTCCTGTTACAATATATATTTAGCTTATACGCAATATTTTAACCTAGTGGTCATTTCTAATATGAAAGAATACCCTACCGGTAAAATAGAGCTGCTGTTCATGAATAAACAAAGACTATCCTCTCAATATACAATGTACGGCATGTACAGGAATAATAACAGTGGTAGATTTTTTCCTCCACGGCCAATCATAGATGAAGGTTACCTTCTTCGGGATAAACATATCACATCAGTATACACCAGAGTCATACTCAGGAACAACCGCACATAGCATCTCACTTGATCAATGGTATTTCTTTTTACCAGGGACGCCGAGGACTCGGAAACATCTATGTTTGGGCTTCCGGTGATGGCGGCGCGGATGACGACTGTAACTGTGACGGTTATGCGGCTAGCATGTGGACTATTTCCATCAATTCTGCCACCAATGACGGCCAAACTGCCGGATATGATGAATCGTGTTCCTCTACCCTCGCCTCTACGTTCAGTAACGGGAAAAGTACACTTCGCGACGCTGGTGTGGTAAGTGGAAATTCAGTCCCAAAACTCTTAAACATTTCACATTCTATTTAGGTGTTCCAAAGGATTGGACCGAAACTATTTGCAATTGAAATCAGACAATCTAGTATTCTAATGTTATTTTTGGCAAACCATTTCAGAATCTTTCAAAACCTATGATGTTAGTCTATTACATGTTTGACAGATTTTATTCCAAAAATATCTTATTTATAAATATACTGGCTGATTGGTTCTCATAAACAGAAATGCACCATGCTAAACCCCTACCAGCATCATAATACTACTCATTAAACAAAACCATGGATGGAAGCTGAATTCAGGTTGTAGGTTGACAGTTCTGTAATGTTATCACTCTGTAATGTCCACGACCGGGCGGCTATGACGCTGGTAGAGCTATTTTAGATGAAGATAATTAGGTTTCCTGTTCAAACTCAGGCAAATAGACCACGGTTGTCGTGTGTTAATATGGTCACCAACCTAATAGACTGCGCAGGCATGGTAACGAATGTTGTGTGGTATAGTACATGCGCGAGATGAGCGTCCCTTTACTGTGCAATCACTTCTTACTTATCGCTACAAAGTGACAGATATTGGAGATTGTGTGTTAAAAAGAATACAATTACGTTGCTGTACAGACGATTCTTTGTTGCCTACGTCATCTCTTGGTGTTAATAGTCTTTAATAATTTATCGCGTGGTATCATTCCTGTAAACAGAACCCATGTTTATTGTTAATATTCCTGTTATACAATAGCCAAACCTGTTAATGTTATACCTATAACACGGAATCCGTCCATGTTTATTGTTGAGATTCATTTAACATCAGATCCACACCTGTTTGTATTCTACCTGCTACACAGACCCCACTCCTATGTACATCGTTGGTAATGTTGCTGTATTTACAGGCTACTACGGATCTGTACAACAACTGTACCACCACCCACTCCGGAACGTCAGCTGCGGCTCCCGAGGCTGCTGGAGTCTTCGCTCTTGCTTTAGAGGCAAAGTGAGTAGCATGTTTCCATAACAACAGCCAAACAACAAACAAAAATTAACGACACAAAACGAAAAGAGAACAGAAAAAACTCTAGGTTCTCCTGTTAAATTACATTGTGCAACACAATACATCCGATTATCTCCCATCATTCCCTGAATTACGACTCTTCGTTTTACCTGTTCAAGATTACTCTGTCACACATAAAGTAGGAGTAGCACAGAAAGCACACACAAAAAATCCGATTAGGTAAGATAGAACAACATGATATTGAAGTCGCATTTAGCTGTCGACATGACATGGCATGTGCATATCAGGGTATTCAAATTACAAATTCTAATAACCAGTTCAGTTCTATTGATAATGAGGGGGAAAATACGGTAAGAACATGCAAGAGGAATCTCAACCCCCTGAATAAGATTCTTGAATGTCGAAACCCTAAGCTTGACGTAAGCCTCGTGTTAGACAATCACGAATTTCATCCTTTCGGTTGATTTTTTTCTGTCATATCCTCAAGGTAGGTAAATTATATTAATCATATAATCACTTTGTGTGTATCGATAAATAGTGAAGGGGAAATCATACCCGTATCAGTCCATCTTGTATAAGGGTTATCTTGATCGGCAGTGCATACAATTTTGCGGACCATATTAATCCCATTCACAAGTAAACATTATTATAAATCCTCTTGGTGCTATACACTCTGACCTATTGTATCGCTGACAATCGACATTTAATGAAATGAGCTCGCATTACCCTATTCTGTTTATTCTGCTCTCGTGTATACCCGTGGCATCACACACTACCTGGAGATAATCCCATTCGTTGACCATCTTTTATTGCGACTGACGCAGGATGCAGTTGCCCAGGTCGGCTTCCTGCCAGCGGTATCGATTATCGATGCGCAGCGTCCAATTACGGTTCTATCACATTGTTAATGTTATAATGCCTTATCTAATGTGGCAGCTTCTGGGGGAGCCCACGTGCCACTTAACTCATCCAATTGTTCCCGCACCAACATTGACATATCCTTAAGAAAAGAAAATCCGGAACCGACTCCGCCTTGCCGTGTGCTTAAAGCCGTTACCTTAGAAATGACGGCTTTATATAACGGCTAGATTGCTAGTTTGTGAATAGTAATATTAGAGTATCAGATCTGAATAGAATGTAAATACACACCATCGAGCCAAAGATTAATATTGAGAGATGACTCTCGTTCCAGGCGAGTTTTTATAGTAACACGAGTTTAAGTTTACTAGTGTTCATAGTGTAGGCATTTTTTTATTTTTTTTTTATTTCTTTTTTTTCCCCCTGAAGTGGTCACGTCATTGTGCTGGTAAAAAAACAACTGATTATGAGCTTGAATCGAATATTGACGTTTGTTTTCTTTTGACACAACCTTGATCTTTTTAGCTGGTCGACTATTTCGACCACTAACTGCGATTTTCCTTAAAAAGATTCTGTGATGACTTCCAATGATCGTTGGTTTGTATTGTTACTTCCGAGTGAGGACATTCTTGTTGTTAGTCTGTAATAACACTTTTATTTACTTCTGATACAAACTAGTGTTAATTCTGACTTTGTAAACTTCTGGTCCTTTTTCTGACCGTACTACATTTTGTTATTCGAATTCTAGTTCTGAACGGTCTACCAGTTTTCCCGATGTCTACACTTTCACACTTCCTACGGTCTACACAATGCTTTACGCGTGTCGGATGTTTTCTGTCTGTCCTTGAGTTGTTATAAATTATTAGTATATTTTGTCGAGGTCTGATCACCTTAGTTTCTTTGCTAACGAATCAATTTATCTGATCCTACTGTGACATAGGAAAGGACATCTAGATCTTCTTGAATTTCCTTGTATTTTTCTTTCCTCTTTGTAAACTGTTCCTTCTCTGTTCGTTTTCCCTGATTTTTTACCAGATGGGGTATCCTGTATTCTGTAGTGCTTTAGGTTTCTGTCCGTTATTCGTGTGATACTCTTCCATGGCCTCTCTCCAACGACTTCTAATCATGTCTAACAAGACGCTGGTGTGAAATAGAGAAACTGGTTTGTATGAATCCTTTCTTCTTCCTACATACAAGTAATGTAACTCTCCGTTCTCCTTTCTGATAAGTAATGGCATAGATCCGTCTGTTTCTGTGTGTATTTCTGTTTCCTGTGTGATAGCTTTGCCAAACATCTGTTAGAGTCTTGAGAATAAGATGGTTTCAGCCGTCAACCAGGTAAAATATCAAAAGTGTGTCAAAGAAAATATGCAATCAAATTGACTGAGACATTTCTGATATGAAAAATACAACTGTGACCAATAAACTTGCTCTCTAGGAGTGTTTGAAGTGTTAGGCGTAAGCAACGGGCAGTATTACTGAAATTCAACTACTCCCCGCGGAACAGTTCCATGTCTCTTGAGACAAATACAAAGCTCTAAAGTGCTTGTCCCCGTAACAATCTTTAGCGGCGTTGGATGAAAAGGAAATTATGTTGCTTAAAGTACACCCACACATTAGGTTATTTAACAGATAGACTTATCTTCTTCATCGCTTATTACACCATGACTTATTTCCCTCACCTCGTATTACATAATAACCTATCTTCCTTACATATTTTCCTTACCTCCTACATATAGCGAACCATACCGTACTTTCCTTACCTTCTATCGAACCATACCGTATTCTTTACCTCCTATCGACCTATACCGTAAATTTTTTACCTCTTATTGAACCATACCGTATCTTCTTACCTCCTATCGAACCATACCGTATCTTATTTACCTCCTATCGAACCATACCGTATCTTCTTACCTCCTATCGAACCATACCGTATTTAATCACCTCCTATAAATCATACGGTATTTTCTTTACCTCCTATCACATCATACCGTATTTAATCACATGCACCTCCTATCGAACCATACCGTAGTTTTGTTATATAGTATGCCCATAACGTATCCTTATTTTCTCCATAACATATCTTATCACCTCGTTTTACCCATCAACACTTGATCTGAGATCTAAGTATGAGGAAGGCATTGAAAACGTTTTCATTGCTTTATTTTATAGCTATTCAGCATTGTTCTTGAATGGCACATCATAAAATATCAAGCTGTGTGATATGTTTGATATTAAAAGACAGCGTTTTAACTGTAAGAACGATTTGGATTACCCACTTGTTTCCATGGCATTTCTTACATCAGTAATAACTTGTTGTGAGATATTTATATTTCCTCTCCTAGAATATGGATAACAATATTGATGGAAGGTGGTGACGTAGACTGAAGTCGTACGTAAGCCAGGCAGTATCCGACGGCTCTGTATAAGGGACGCCATCATGTAGTATATTGTCCATAAATGTGGTTGGATGTGAAGGGCCCGGGGATAGGGGAAATCCTGTACAAAGCAGCCGTGGGGAGGGGAAGCCGTAAACGGCAGCTTAGGTCGATAATCGATTAATTGGTATCACTGCCCACTAGATGTCGTTAGATGTTCACACTGAATAATAAACAGTCTGAAGTAACCATCTATAGTCGCATCACGCTCATAATGACGGAGGACATTACTGGGCATTAAAATTGAAGTATTTATCTCAGCTTCACTATAATCTACAAATGTAGCTTTCTACATTTCCCGCGTTAAAACGGAAATAAAACTAGACCAAACATGTCTGACTACATTAAACAAACACAACTGTTGGTGTAGAAGGCTGTTAATGTAATGTGATTCGTTTAATGTTGATACAAGCGTTTCATTATTTAACAGTGTTGTGTGTTTAAGTGGTTGGGTCTATTTTAGCATTGGTTTGTTTGTCATTTGCTTTATTATTTAGCGGTGCTGTGTGTTGATATGTCAGTAGTGGCGTGTTTTAATTATATCTATTCGTGAGCATCATTTAAGTTTAGATACTCTAACGAATTGTTTAGTTTGCTCGTTACATGTCTGTTAATTGATCAGGCTTTCCTAATCCATGTTGTGTGTTAATTGATAGGGCTTCCCTAAACAAGGTTGCGTGCTAATTGATCAGGCTTTCCTAATCAATATTGTGTGTTAATTGATAAGGCTTTCCTAAACAATGTTGCGTGCTAATTGATTACCTACGGTTTACAGGTTCCAAATAAACAGTAAAAGTACAAAATCAGAAAACACCCATTTCGACAAAAACATTATGTCGATGCAGAAACAAATGGATTAAAGTATGCATCACCATACGGCCATCTTCCCTTCCCCCGGACATGTATACTAACATTAGATCGACAATAGGACACCTCACTACCAATTTCTGTCACAGATGACATTTATTCCACAATCAGCATCCGTAGCGGTAAATAGCCAGGGGACCCTGTTTATTGACTTTGTTCCACTGTATGTTATGGTAAGAGATGATATTTTGTTTGCTTTGAGTTGTTGAAGGATTTACTCAGTCTATGTTATAGAGAAGCATTGATGTCATTCCGTTTGTTATGGAGTTGATGAAGGTAAGAGATGTGTAGTTGTAGAAAAGCTCAGTCTGTAAATCAATGATGTTTATTAACGTGTTTTAGCCGTAACCTGACCTGGAGAGACATGCAGCACCTGACTGTCCTCACCTCCAAGAGAAACAAGTTATTCGACCCGTACCAGAAACATCACTGGAAGTATAACGGCGCCGGGTTATTGTTTAACCACTTGTTCGGATACGGAGTGTTGGACGCCGCAGCCATGGTGGATCTTGCCAGCCAGTGGAAACCACTTCCGGAACGCTTTCACTGCACCGGAGGCAGTGTCACCAAGGAAATGTAAGTAAACCACAATGTAAACTTACACAATATAAACATTTAAGAGTTAAAACACAGACGAAAAATAAAAATGTCAATATCCCAAAAGATGCACACATAACAGTACACTAGTTGTGTAATGTTTTGCAATATCAACGTCAACTCCAACCTTTCTAGAGCGCCTGGTTTTATCACACAACTCTACAGCTCTGCCGTTATCAGCAGCATGTGGTGTTCAAAAATCAATGGATCGCCTTGCCTTCTGTACAGAGCTTAGTGGTGTTGACAGGTCTGGTTTCAAATAACAAATATTAAGTTCTCTTGAAATCATTTTGTTTCATTTCAAGTTTGGGTCGGTTCGATAAAGTAAAAGGAGAAGCACATTAAAACAGCCAACCCTTCTAGGATTCATTCAAACGCTATCGTACAAGCGCCTGGTTTAATGCAGACATGGCAGTGCTTCCGAAATTAAACGTGAACGTGAATTTTAGATAAGGCTCCAATAATGTTGTAGGAATAAAGTCGATAATGGTTCGGGGTTATTTTCATTATACGATTGGAACGAAATGTTCTTTCAATTAGTTACCGGAAATAACCACATCACACAACACACTACTGCCGTTATGTATGTCAGACAGTTAAGTACCATCGTCTTGTATACATGTATCAACAACCTATCCCAGTCCTGTAGTCTTACTTATATAATACTGTTGTCAATAGAAGACCCCCAAAAAAGTTTCATTGAGTCTGTTACGCTGGGTTGATTTGCTCTTTAGTTGCTCTAATGGGATATCCAGTGATTACTCTTCCACTAATGAACTAATCTGGATTTTAAACCGGAATGGTGATTGACAATGCGAGATGAAATAAACGATTTTAATGAGAGGCTTGAAACTCCGTGTCGATTAGAATGTAATTGGAAAAATCATCTTGCTTCTTCATGTTTCAAACTTCTTCAACAGGTTGGCGATGCTGCTATTATTAGGTTTTGTGCGTACACAATAGGACACATATCTCAGAGTCTGTAAAACTCATTGTTTCTTGATTAGATATGTGACTCTGAGGCTATACATTCGCTTGTTGTCTCCTCATATATCTGGCGGAGGAGCGTTCAATGTGTGCGCAGTGTTTTGGAGGAATACTGTGGTATTTTTGTCGGTGCGACTAGCAATAAGTTACAAAAATCGGCTTCTCTCCTTGATAGGATCAACATTCTTCCACCTGTGCTTATCTCAGATTCGCCATGTTCCATGTGGAAAACCCAAGTGGAGCAGCTCTATCTCACATCGGTGAAACAAGTGATCACCAGTTCACGTTCAACCTTTTTTACCTAAATTATCACCAGAAGCACATACAAACTTCTTAGACCAGTACCATAACGTCCGACATTTTGAAAATTACGGCAGTTCTCTAAGATACGTTACGTCATTTACTTTCATTTTAATTAGCGGAAGAACACCTAACGCCAAAAAATAGTCGGCATCTGTCATCGCCTAATGGATATAAACAATTACTTAATATACAGTGGAGCTTTTTATAAACTGATTTATTTTCCTGCTTTCATGAAATATTGTTCCTGTTAGTCTGTGCGTTACCTTGAAAATCTATAATCATTGTCGCATTAGCAATGACATCGTCAATTTTCACTGAATTCTCAATGAGAGAAGAAAATGGATCCATCTTTATGCAGGTATTTTGCAAAATTTAACTGTATTCTCGGCAGTAGAATTTTCACGATTTGTCTCACTAACTTACGATAGACTTTTGGTGTTTTCTGATGTCAAATATGCCTCAGTTGATCTTTTTTCTTTTTAAACCGGAGAACCTTATCTACAATCCCTTTTTGTTCAAGTGAATTTCAACTTCATGAGTCTGAGACACTTACAATTTGACACATGCTTGGCTGGTGGTTATTACATTATCTCCAGTATGTTAGTGCACTACTGTGATCAACCAAGAAGGTAATCCAAACAAAAGGAAACGGCAATACAAATCGTCTTAGTATGCAAATAGGGAAAGTTAATACAGGATACCATACAAGGCCTACTCGATTTGCGCTCACAGCTCACCTGAAAAGTCGGCTTGCCATAGGCGGGCACTCCGCTCGATAAGACACAAGCAAAGAATAAAGCAAGCCCATCGTATTTTTTTAACAAAAGCCTTGTTTTTGCTCCACGTTTTTATATAAACCGTCTATTTATAAATTTAAGCGATAGATTTTCCTCATTTGTACTATTTATTTCAGATTTATTCATCAAAATACCTCTCGATATGTCAGGATCACTTTAAAAGTTCTGAAAACTAAAAGACAAATGTCACTACGATAGACGTTATCACTGTATGTTTACTTGGAAAACCTATTGAATATTAAATTATGCTTCGTTATATATACCACATTTTGTTATGGGAAAAAATAACTCACTTTAAAGCTGTTATCTATGATGACGACAAATAGATACTAACACAATTTGTAATGGCAGCTTTAATAAAGGATACGTTTATATTTCTGACCACAGGAAGTTCGCCACCAACCAGCCAATCAAGATGCATATTGACACGGACGCTTGTCACGGGAGTGATAACGAGATTAACTACCTAGAGCACGTGCAGGCATTCGTCACGCTCAAGTCCACATACAGAGGAAATGTCGTCATCTTCATTACGTCACCAATGAATACTACGTAAGTTCATTAAAAAATTTGTACCCAATAAACTGAAAATAAAAAATGTATATATAAACGTCCGTTCTGGAATATATTAAGGTTGATTACCACTATTTATTTGGCTAAATAGACATCAAGCTCTATAAGATAACTGATCTTATGTTGATAAAAAGTCAAACACTTTCAGGGGTTCCACAAAGTGACTATTTTAAGAGGTTTCAGGATATGCTTAACTGTTAAAAAAATATTTTTTCCAATTCCTATGCAAAAATCACAGAGATAAGTATAATGTTCAAAATGCTTCAAATATAATATCATGGTTTGGTCAATCAATTATGTGAATAAAGGTTACCACTTTAAGTATGCTGCTTAATTATGGATTAATATTCCAAAGTGAGAAGCACTAATTTAAATTGCGCCAGTCCTCAAACTACATGTACTATGTCCCATAGTTCATAGTTTTTACCAATCAAAGAGTTCTACGGTTTGATTTACAGCTATGTTTTACCAATCAAAGAGTTCTACGGGTTGATTTACAGCTATTTTTTACCTATCAAAGAGTTTGACGGGTTGATTTACAGCTATGTTTTACCAATCAAAGAGTTCTACGGGTTGTTTACAGCTATGTTTTACCAATCAAAGACTTCTACGGGTTGATTTACAGATATGTTTTACCAATCAAAGACTTCTACGGGTTGATTTACAGCTATGTTTTACCAATCAAAGAGTTCTACGGGTTGATTTACAGCTATTTTTTACCTATCAAAGAGTTTGACGGGTTGATTTACAGCTATGTTTTACCAATCAAAGAGTTCTACGGGTTGATTTACAGCTATGTTTACCTGTTCTGTTGTATGGATTTGGATATGATACTAAGTGGCGACTCTGGTAGATAGTGAAGTTATTGTTGATGACTTTTTCACATTTTTGCATTATGATGATATTATGTTAAACGTACTAAGCGTTTGTGTGAATTAAGGACTTGTTGCTTAAGTACGAATTATAGGCTACTGTAATATGGGAAGTTTATATTAAGTACTCTATATACTGTCGAAGTTTTATAATACATCGTACAATGACGAAGTTTACACAATATATGATAACAGTGTTCACGTAGTTAACTATAAAATGACGGTGTTTACGTACTTCACTATATATAATTATGGCGATTACGTAGTACACTATATACATAATAACGGGGTTTATGTAATACGCTATATATCATGTCGGACATTACGTTGTAAGGAATATAATGACGGCGTTAAAGTAGAACAATATATATATCATGGCGGAGTTTACGTAGCTAGCTTCACATACTGACGGAGTTTACGTAATACGCTAGAAAATTAGTGTGTTTGCGTAGTACACAGTATAATGTAGGGGTTCACCCAGTACAGTACACGATGTACGAGTTTACCAGGTACACTATATAATGTAGGAGTTTACCCAGTACACTATTTATTATAGTAGTTTACCCAGTACACTATATAATGTAGAAATTTACCCAGTACAGTATATGATGAAGGAGTTTACCCAGTACACTTTATAATGTAGGAATTTACCCAGTACAGTATATGATGTAGGAATTTACCCAGTTAACTATATAATATAGGTGTTTACCCAGTACACTATATAATGTAGGAGTTTACCCAGTACAGTATATGATGTAGGAATTTACCCAGTTAACTATATAATATAGGTGTTTACCCAGTTCACTTTATAATAGTAGGAGTTTACCAGGTACACTACATAATGTAGAAGTTTACCCAGTACACTATATAATGTAGGAGTTTACCCAGTACACTTTACAATGTAGGAGTTTACCAGGTACACTATATAGTGTAGGAGCTTACCAGGTAGACTACATAATGTAGAAGTTTACCCAGTACACTATATAATGTAGGAGTTAAGCCAGTACACTTTATAATGTAGGAGTTTACCAGGTACACTATATAGTGTAGGAGTTTACCCAGTACACTATATAATGTAGGAGTTTACCCAGTACAGTATATGATGTAGGAGTTCACCCAGTACACTATATGATATAGGTGTTTACCCTGTTAACTATATAATATAGGTGTTTACCCAGTTCACTTTATAATAGTAGGAGTTTACCAGGTACACTACATACTGTAGAAGTTTACCCAGTACACTATATAATGTAGGAGTTTACCCAGTACACTTTATAATGTAGGAGTTTACCAGGTACACTATATAGTGTAGGAGTTTACCCAGTACACTATATAATGTAGGAGTTTACCCAGTACACTATATAATGTAGGAGTTTACAAGGTACACTATATAATGTAGAAGTTTTACCCAGTACACTATATAATGTAGGAGTTAACCCAGTACACTTTATAATGTAGGAGTTTACCAGGTACACTATATAGTGTAGGAGTTTACCCAGTGCACTATATAATGTAGGAGTTTACCCAGTACAGTATATGATGTAGGAGTTTACCCAGTACACTATATGATATAGGTGTTTACCCAGTTAACTATATAATATAGGTGTTTACCCAGTTAACTATATAATATTGGTGTTTACCCAGTTCACTTTATAATAGTAGGAATTTACCAGGTACACGACATAATGTAGAAGTTTACGCAGTACACTATATAATGTAGGAGCTTACCCAGTACACTATATAATGTAGCAGTTTACCCAGTACACTATTTATTGTAGTATTTTACCCAGTACACTATATGATATAGGTGTTTACCCCGTTAACTATATAATATAGGTGTTTTCCCAGTTCACTTTATAATAGTAGGAGTTTACCAGGTACACTATATTGTGTAGGAGTTTACGTAGTACACTATATAATGTAGCAGCTTACCCAGTACACTATATAGTGTAGGCGTTTACCAGGTACACTATATAATGTAGAAGTTTTACCCAGTACACTATATGATATAGGTGTTTACCCAGTTAACTATATAATATTGGTGTTTACCCAGTTCACTTTATAATGGTGGGAGTTTACCAGGTACACGACATAATGTAGAAGTTTACCCAGTACACTATTTATTGTAGTATTTTACCCAGTACACTATATGATGTAGGAGTTTACCCCGTACACTATATGATATAGGTGTTTACCCAGTTCACTTTATAATAGTAGGAGTTTACCAGGTACACGCCATAATGTAGAAGTTTACCCAGTACACTATACAATGTAGGAGTTTACCCAGTAGAGTATATGATGTAGGAGTTCACCCAGTACACTATATGATGTAGGAGTTTACCCCGTACACTATATAGTGTAGGCGTTTACCAGGTACACTATATAATGTAGGAGTTTACCCAGTACACTATATATTGTAGTAGTTTACCCAGTACAGTATATAATGTAGGAGTTTACCCAGTACACTATATAGTGTAGGAGTTTACCAGGTGCACTATATATTGTAGTAGTTTACCCAGTACACTATATAATGTAGTAGTTTACCCAGTACACTATATATTGTAGTAGTTTACCCAGTATACTATATATTGTAGTAGTTTACCCAGTACAGTATATATTATAGTAGTTTACCCAGTACACTATATAATGTAGTAGTTTACCCAGTACACTATATATTGTAGTAGTTTACCCAGTACACTATATATTATAGTAGTTTACCCAGTACACTATAAAATGTAGTAGTTTACCCACTACACTATATATAGTAGTAGTTTACCTAGTATACTATATATTGTAGTAGTTTACCCAGTACACTATATATTATAGTAGTTTACCCAGTACACTATATAATGTAGTAGTTTACCCAGTACACTATATATAGTAGTAGTTTACCTAGTACACTATATATTGTAGTAGTTTACCCAGTACACTATATAGCGTAGGAGTTTACCCAGTACACTATATAATGTAGGAATTTACCCAGTACACTATATAATGATGTTTTATCACACAGCTCGATGATACTCAGCCAGAGACCTAACGATGATGACCACAAGAATGGTTTCACTCGCTGGCCCTTCATGACTACCCACACCTGGGCCGAAAACCCTCATGGACGCTGGAAGCTCGAAATCACACTGGTTCCCGGCAAGAACACCAATGTGGACACGGGAACGTTCTTTGAGTGGACACTTATTTTCCACGGAACTCGCAGCGCCCCCTACAAAAACCAGGTTGAGGATGAGATGAATCACGGGAAGTTGTTCAAGGTCAAAAGAATTCACCAGCAGAAAGCCTGAGGATCGTGCCACAACAAAGGCACAAAGCTCATCAATAAAGTTAAATTCTAAAAGTATTATAATAAATTTTCAAAACTTTTCTTTAAAAAATGTAAAATATAATAAAAATATTCTAAATTATAATTTAATATAAGCAATTGAACTTTGATGAATAATGGGGGTTTTCCCCCATTCGGAATTAATGTAAAAGCATTATAATTTTGAATCAAATGATTGAATATTAATATATTAAAGAAAAATATGGATGATATTTAAAAAAAAAGAAATAACAAAACTATTTCTTTTTCATACACTAAGCACTTATTGGTTCTCGAAGCAACTAGAATGGATATATATATTTTTATATAAATTGTGTAAAGTATGCAATTATTTTGAAAGTTATATTAAAAAGATTGAATCGCTTCGAGAACCAATATTTGCTTAGTGACGTCATAAATGACGTTATATGGATATGCATTCCAGAATGAAATTTCCTTTGATTTCAATCGATGGAAAATGATAGGAAGCGCATCCTAACGTAACAAATGTTTACACGTCGACAAGATTAAGATTTGTACCGAGACACCGTATCTAATAGCGACGAAATTTAAATACCGAAAACACGAATAAATAATCTGCCAGTGCATTTTTGCAGTCTTCCACACCACTTACGTCAGACTTCCTTTGTAGCATGGGTGGCTATCTGGACATACTCATTATAGGGCGGGTTCCATGTCTTCTGTGGTTTGGTACGAGTGTACTACTGTAAACAAGGAGACAAGCATTAATCCATTAGTTGGTACACTTGAGTAGTATTTTTATGGCTTTTCGGTACACTACGGTAGTTATTGTTATGGCTTTTCGGTACACTACGGTAGTTATTGTTATAGCTTTTAGGTACACTACGGTAGTTATTGTTTAGACTAATCGGGTACACTGAGGTAGATATTGTTTCGATTATTCGGTACACTACGGTAGTTATTTACGGTAGTTATTGTTTAGACTATTTGGTACACTACGGTAGTTATTGTTTAGACTATTAGGTACACTACGATAGTTATTGTTTAGACTATTCGGTACACTACGGTAGTTATTGTTTAGACTATTCGGTACACCACAAACTTTATTGTTAAGACTTTTCGGAACACCAAGGTGTTTATTGTTAAAACTATTCGGTATATACGGCAGTTATTGTTTACGCCAGCTCATGTATCCAGGTTGTGGCCCTGTGATTTCACGTCTGTTATAGGCACTCGTACTGTCTGATGCATGGTGAATTTCTCCTGTACAAATTTTCCGTTATCTATAAATATTTCCCGTACAAATAGTTTATAAATAGGGCTATAATTCATCATGATCTTCCATTCCTGTTAGTAAACTAAACGCTAATTTATCATGATCGTGTAGCTGTTATATCCACGGCTTACATCGTGTAGCTAACATAATCACATCACCATGACGTCACGACCAATGTTCACGTCAATGAGACAGTATTTGTGACAGACGACAGGGCCGCAACCATGCAAACGATCTGTCCTTGGTGAACGGGGTTCAGCATGACAAAGGACTTGCATTTTCATTTCAGTAGATTTAGACTGTGGTTTCGAAATGAAATTCGCAAATTTGCAATAGTACAATAATCACTGAGATTGACGTAATTAATTACAAATCTGATACATAAATAATTCAGTAAGACAGGCGCCACCTAAGTTATCCTCACCCCTCACAGATCGAAGTCAGGGGTTGGCATGATTCGGGTGGCTGAAGTACACAGCGTAACGTCAACGACATGCTTACCTAAGTAATGCTTAAGTTGCAAGCAGAAGAACATTTAGTTTAGTGCAATGTTTAGTATTAAAAAGAGAAAAATCCTTACTAAGATAAGTCCCTTACCTGACAACTTTGTAGGGACATGTATGATTACATATTAAGATAGATAAGACCCTTACCTGACAGCTTTGTAGGGACATGTATGATTCCATACTCGGGTAGATAAGTCCCTTACCTGACAACTTTGTAGGGACATGTATGATTACATACCCGGATATATAAGTCCCTTACCTGACAACTTTGTAGGGACATGTATGATTACATACTAAGATAGATAAGACCCTTACCTGACAACTTTGTAGGGACATGTATGATTCCATACTAAGGTAGATAAGTCCCTTACCTGACAGCTTTGTAGGGACATGTATCATTCCATACTAAGGTAGATAAGTCCCTTACCTGACAGCTTTGTAGGGACATGTATCATTCCATACTAAGGTAGATAAGTCCCTTACCTGACAGCTTTGTAGGGACATGTATCATTCCATACTAAGGTAGATAAGTCCCTTACCTGACAGCTTTGTAGGGACATGTATCATTCCATACTAAGGTAGATAAGTCCCTTACCTGACAGCTTTGTAGGGACATGTATCATTCCATACTAAGGTAGATAAGTCCCTTACCTGACAGCTTTGTAGGGACATGTATCATTCCATACTAAGGTAGATAAGCCCTTACCTGACAACTTTGTAGGGACATGTATGATTACATACTAAGGTAGATAAGTCCCTTACCTGACAACTTTGTAGGGACATGTATGATTCAATACTAAGGTAGATAGGTCCCTTACCTGACAACTTTGTAGGGACATGTATGATTCCATACCCGGGTAGATAAGTCACTTACCTGACAACTTTGTAGGGACATGTATGATTCCATACTAAGGTAGATAAGTCCCTTACCTGACAACTTTGTAGGGACATGTATGATTCAATACTCGGGTAGATAAGTCCCTTACCTGACAACCTTGTAGGGATATGTATGATTCCATACTCGGGTAGATAAGTCCCTTACCTGACAACTGTGTAGGGACATGCATGATTCCATACTAAGGTAGATAAGTCCCTTACCTGAAAACTTTGTAGGGACATGTATGATTCAATACTCGGGAAGATAAGTCCCTTACCTGACAACCTTGTAGGGACATGTATGATTCCATACTAAGGTAGATAAGTCCCTTACCCGACAACTTTGTAGGGACATGTATGATTCCATACCCGGGTAGATAAGTCACTTACCTGACAACTTTGTAGGGACATGTATGAATCCATACTCGGGTAGATAAGTCACTTACCTGACAACTTTGTAGGGACATGTATGATTCCATACTCGGGTAGATAAGTCACTTACCTGACAACTTTGTAGGGACATGTATGATTCCATACTAGGGTAGATAGGTCCCTTACCTGACAACTTTGTAGGGACATGCATGATTCCATACTAAGGTAGATAAGTCCCTTACCTGACAACTTTGTAGTGACATGTATGATTCTATTACAGAGGTCTCTTACTTGACCTTGATCCTGGTGAAGGCTCCAGGCTTAACGAGAAGGTTCACAACTTACAAATCATTGGCTGTCTTAGTTCATTATCGTTATCTTCATATTCATCGACATCATTTGTTAACCCATGAAAACTTGAAAAAGGTTAACTTGTATTGGCTTTTTCTCAAATTCCCTTTAGTAATACTCGATACTATATTCTGTGAACTGTTGTAGTTCAAATTGAAAAAAAACACAATAAAAAGTAAAGCTGAATAAGTTTCGTTAGTTCAAGAATCGCAAAATAGTTCTAGTCTGCAGACGAATCCTAGGTCATTCTTTACCAATCTCTTAATACGATGGATAATTTGGCTCTATCCACCAGACCGATACTATAAATAGATGTTCGGGACAGAACTTCCTGTGTTCTCCAATATAACAATACATTATGTGATATCCTATTTATCTCGCATTTCATTGTCGATATAATGTTTTCTGTTGTTCTGTTTTGTGATGAAATTTCAGATAAAATTAATTTAGTTACACAGCTATAATGCAGTAAAAGTTGAATGATATCACCACGGTTTAGTGGGCTGTAGATACCCCGTTTCTACTTGTGTCATAATGTGAGTTTGCCTACAAATAATTTAAGTAAAATAATACATACACTGGTTCCATACCTGTACTGGTATTACTTTGAAACATTTCCTCTGTTTCTAAGCATTCAAAAGCACTAATGTCCTGAGCCGACGGCTGTTGACATTAGTTCTGTTGGTGGGTCGAAACGCCAAGGTAACACATTTTTGACTATTGCTGTCAAAAGCATGAAATCATTGTTTTATTACCTGAATTGGGTCATTTCTATCTCACAGCCTGAAGGAAACATCGAGTCCATGCCCTTGAAATCCAAGCACTATTAATATCAAATATTCTGGTGGTTTGAAGATGTTTTGGACGTCCTCTGGAAAGCGTTAACCTTTAAATATTACTCTGTTGAAGGGCGTAGATAAAAGATTCAAAAAAGTCGTAATTCATTTAAAAAAATAAACAGAATACCTTCCATTAGGCGTCGCTGTCACTTCAACTAAACCCAAACAGTTGATAAAAACCACAACGTGGACTTCCTTACCAACATCAGATGATAGACAATGCGTTATGTACAAAAGGGGTTGATGTGTGTGAGATACCACATTTCACTAGTGTTTGACATTTCTATTGCATTATAACAGTGTAAAACATTGTTATCATATTTAGTGTTGAACTGGGATTCAGAAATGGCTACATTTGACTCGGTCAACATTCTGTTTTTATTGAGCATTTGAATCGTATTTTCAAATTTGTTAACTGTGATTTAGATAAATACTTCAAATAAACTTTTAGAATTATTATATTTATAAATATAATCGGTGTCTGATTAACCTGCACATTAATCGAAAGCGACGTTTCTTTTTTTTAATTATTTTTTTTGTAAATTATGAAATCGGTGCTTTGATCTAAAACCGCCATTCAGATATAATAATTCAAATGGATAAAACTAAAATAAGTGATGGAAAAGCGTATTAGATTATATTTTTGTTGATTAATTTGACAATATCCCAACTGTTGTAATGTTATGTTGCAAATAAAGTTCGGCCAAAATTTCTCTGCTTTGTGTTTTGTTTTTGGTAAGCATACTGCCACATTATATATACCGTGTGTGTAACTTGTTCTGAGCTAGCATACTGCCACATTATATATACCGTGAGTGTTACTTGTTCTGAGCTAGCATACTGCCAAATTATATATACCGTGTGTGTTACTTGCTCTGAGCTACATGTAGCATATTGCCACATTATATATACCGTGTGTGTAACTTGTTCTGAGCTAGCATGCTGCCACAATATATACCGTGTGTGTAGCTTGTTCTGAGCTAGCATGCTGCCACATTATATATCTCCTGTGTGTAACTTGTTCGGAGCTAGCATACTGCCACAGTATATACACCGAGTAGTTTACCCAGTACACTATATAATGTAGTAGTTTACCCAGTACACTATATAGTGTAGGAGTTTACCCAGTACACTATATAATGTAGGAATTTACCCAGTACACTATATAATGTAGTAGTTTACCCAGTACACTATATAATGTAGGAATTTACCCAGTACACTATATAATGTAGTAGTTTACCCAGTACACTATATAGTGTAGGAGTTTACCCAGTACACTATATAATGTAGGAATTTACCCAGTACACTATATAGTGTAGGAGTTTACCCAGTACACTATATAATGTAGTAGTTTACCCAGTACACTATATAATGTAGGAATTTACCCAGTACACTATATAATGTAGGAATTTACCCAGTACACTATATAGAGGAGGAGGTTACCCAGTACACTATATAATGTAGTAGTTTACCCAGTACACTATATAATGTAGGAATTTACCCAGTACACTATATAATGTAGGAATTTACCCAGTACACTATATAATGTAGTAGTTTACCCAGTACACTATATAATGTAGGAATTTACCCAGTACACTATATAATGTAGTAGTTTACCCAGTACACTATATAGTGTAGGAGTTTACCCAGTACACTATATAATGTAGGAATTTACCCAGTACACTATATAGTGTACTGGGTAAACTACTCGGTGTATATACTGTGGCAGTATGTTAGCTCCGAACAAGTAACACTCATGGTGTATATACTGTGACAGTATGCTAGCTCCGAACAAGTTACACACTCGGTATATATAATGTGGGAGAATGCTATCTCAGAAAAAGACACACACACGGTATATCTAATGTGGCAGTATGTTAGCTCCGAACAAGTAACACTCGCGGTATAATGTGGCAGTATTATAGCTGAGAACAAGTTACACACGCGGGATATATAATGTGCCAGTATGCTAGCTCACAACAAGTAACACAGACGGTATATTTAATGTGGCAGTATGGTAGCTCAGAACAAGCTACGCACACGGTATATCTAAAGTGGCAGTCTGCTAGCTCAGAACATGTAACACTCACGGTATAATGTGGCAGTATGCTTGTTCTGAGCTAGCATACTGCCACTTTAGATATACCGTGTGTGTAGCTTGTTCTGAGCTAGCATACTGCCACATTATATATCTCGTGTGTGTAACTTGTTCGGAGCTAGCATACTGCCACAGTATATACACCGTGAGCGTTACTTGTTCTGAGTTAGCATACTGCCACATTATATATCTCGTGTGCGTAACTTGTTCGGAGCTAGCATACTGCCGCAGTATATACACCGTGAGTGTTACTTGTTCTGAGTTAGCATACTGCCACATTATATATACCGTGTGTGTAACTTGTTCTGAGCTAGCATACTACCACATTATATATACCGCGTATGTAACGTGTTCTGAGCTAGCATTCTGCCACATTATACCGAGTGTGTTACTGGTTTTGAGCTAGCATACTGACACATTATATATACCGTGAGTGTTACTTGTTCTGAGCTAGCATACTGCCACATTATATATACAGTGTGTGTTACTTGTTCTGAGCTAGCATAATGCCACATTATACCGTGTTTGTTACTTGCTCTGAGCTAGCATACTGCT